TCGTCGTTATCGTCTTCCTCCTCCGTCTCGAACTCGCAGCCGTGCGTATGCATCGGGCAACGGCCGCCGATCCCGCCGTTAGATTAACGAGATTACGAGCTGCTTGAAAAGCGAGGAGCGCCTTGTGGCCGTATAAAGGAGGATCCTTTGGCGAAAGAGGTCCAAGGAGACGCTGTGTTACCGAGACGTAGTGAACCCGCGTCGCCTCGGTCGGCCGGAGCTCCGGGAATTTTAGTATCCGAGGATACTCTCTCCGGCTCGAGGATCCGAGACGCTGTGAGTCCTCGCTCCATTAGGGACGCTTCGGAGGACATGAGAGCGATTGCGCTCGCGACACGAAGCTCAGGAAGCCGTGTCCGCTCGTCTCTCTCCGCTCCCTTGTCTGTCTCTTCCGAGCGGTCGATAATCGACGTTGCATTTAACACCACCGAGTCTCCCTTCGTCTTCCCCCAGCCCCTCGTTCGGGGGCGTACTCCTTCGATAATCGTAAGGACCGTGTGATTTCACCGTGTAAATATTAGCCCTCGCCGTCCTCTTCTCCGCCCGGCAGTCTGTCTCACCCTTTCTTCCTTCTCCTTCTGTCTCTTATTCCGTCGCCGTTGTCAGACACCAGCGAGTGTCCCCTCTTCTCCGGATCCTCCGAGCGGCTTCGCGCCCGGTCGTGTTTACACGACCGCGCTTTAAAATTTCCCGGACTCATTATTCGGCCGACGCGCGCCCGGATCGCACGATTTCACACGGACGGGACGGAGGAGGAGGAGGAAGAAGAAGAAGAAGTCGTCGTCGTCGAGGTGCCGCGAAGACTCTCCTCTTCCGCAATCACGATTACTCTCGAGCTCTCTCCGAGTGGATGTGACGAAGGACGGGGAGACAAACGGCCGGGTCGCGGCGATCCTCGCAGGGCCGTTCCCGTAAACGTTAGTCAGCGGCAAGCCGGGGGGAGGGCGACCTTCTTCGGGACGAACGTGGAGCAAGGGGTGGCAATTAAACCTCGGTTAGCTTTAATTGATGTTCATGGGAACGAGCTGCAGGTAGCTGCGCGCGATTACAGGCCCATCGGCCTGCGTCTAATGTACGGCACGTTATTAGCTTTCCGCATAAGCTAATATACACAGGCAGCTGATATACGCGGCGACAGTTTGCCGTATTCGATGCACATGCGGCGAGCGCTCCTTCCGGCGTACATCAACCGCAAGTATTCCTCGACGAAGACCTCGCTTATTGCTGCTTTTTCGTTCGAACAACGGTGGACAGTTGACGCCGCAGATGATGAAAATTCATCGCGAGATCAACCTGTAAGCGGCCACGTGACTTTTTGAGGAATTGAACTAATTGCTGTTTGTAGCTGAGGTTCTTCGGTGTTATCGACACTACTTCGCTAAATCCAAGAGTGAGTGGTGGAAGCGAGTTACTGAAAGCGGACAAAAACGAAACGGAGAAACATATCCCGGATATGGTCTAGTTAGACCAAGATAGGGCCCAGTTTGGTTTGCAAATCTGGCCCTAATTTGTACGAATGTTGCACTTGTAGAGACTAGACACAAGTGAAGACAAATTTTGGAGAACCTTTCCAGTTCCCGTTTCAAATTTCTACCCGGGATTCGTTTATTCACGAGCCGGTTTGACCCTCGCGCATGCACTTGCGGGTTAAACCGTTTCGTCGTCTGCCAGCGGGGGGAGAACACTCGCTCTGGTAAACCTCGATGAGCGAGGAACGCCTCGATCTTCGACGAGGAATACTCGCCAAATGCACCTGTCGTCGAGTCATCCGCTGCGCCGATTCGCGGATCAACAGGCTGTCAGTTTCACGAGTCGCACGCGAGAGAGTAGGTCCCCGTAGGCCTCTGCGTAGACATGTAAAACGCAACGTAGATCCGCGGCTCCGCTTAGTGACACGCACACACGTACACACCGGCGGCCCCGACTCTCTTCCGCCATCGAGATGCCAAAGACAGTTCGGAGAGGAGGTGTACCGTTACGTACCGGCGCGTTACGCAACGATGCGAACGCCGCGTTGGCGTTTCCCAAAGAATAGTCGAACTTCACTCTTCTACTACTTGTACCTTCGGCCCCCCCCTCCGGCCGAGGCCGAGGGGGCTCCCCCATCGAGTCGTTCATCAGTCATTCCGCGAGTTTCTCGCGAAGCACCGGCGATTCGTGTCATCTTCCCGTGGAACGCGAGAGCGCTCGATCGACCGGTCCTGCTTGCCATCCGGCCGCTCCCTTCGAAACACTCGAACGGCAGCCGTAATGGGCGCTTTTTAACGATCGTATGAATAATCGCTCGCGTACCCCGCGATGGGAACATGATACGAATCAGCTTCGGCGCGCGCGCGTATGTGCAGTTTCGGCTGTGCGACTAATGGCCAATTAGAGTTAAGGAGGATCGAGGTTTCTTTGTTGAATGTAGACGCATTATGAGGCTATTCAGATTATAAGAAAGATGTAATATATATAAATATGAAAATATATTAATATATATACATATATATATATTGTACGATAAAATAAAGGAGAGTTGGCATCGTGATCGAGGATTTTGGAGGATTTCCCGCGAGCGAGAGAGGAGCGGGAGCGCGCACGGCACTCGAATGCCTCCGATAATTTCGCGATATCGATTAGAGCTCGGCAGAAGCTACCGTAGACTCGGTCCGCAGTGTGGATTATCGGATGCTTCGTTCGCAGGTAATCCGTTTCGATAATCGATGCGCGCGGCGTACCTTTGGGGGGTGAACTGGTATTTGATGGGACCGCAACACCTAGTCAGACCGGCTGTTCCGAGGTGCGCGCAAGAGCGGTATCACGCTGTATCGAGCAAAGGGCTGATCTATATGCAAAGTAATAAAGTTCACGCTTCTTCGTCGCCAGTCTGGTAGGTGCCAAGGGAGCTTTGCGTAGGACGACATTCTTGAACAATATTTGTCCGTTTACTCGCATCGTGTATATGTACATCCGCGTGGATCGGGGAATTGAGAAGCTTCTTATCTGGTTTATTCCACTTCCCCGCCCGGAATCCCGGGAATTTCGTGAAATTTATACCTCGAGAAGCGATCGTTAATTATCCACGATGTTGAATGGTTCGAGCTGATAATCACTCGCGCGTCGATTAAAAAGTCGCGCGATTAAAAACTTCCTTATTTAGTCCCTCCCACATATTTCCCTGCACGGAATTCGTAAATATCATGTAATATCCACACCTGGAGAAAATTACCATCAATTATCCACGATGTAAGATTCGTGTTGGTATCTGTGCATATGCAAGTTGCCCGCGATTGAAAAGTCGCGTGACGGAAAACTCGCGTCGGAATCTGAAACGGAACTACAAATTCTTTGCGTGAAAAAAAAAACCGGAATCCGAGTGCAGTTATTTCTGCTGACGCACACGCACACACGCAGCCAAGCACACAATCAGTTACCGTTCCGACGTCACAATACACACCCGGTCGTGACTTTTTGATCGCATTGTACGCGAGATGGTGCGCGAAGTTCCCGTCGCCGGCGAGACTAGAGACAGCCACCATCTCGAGCGTGTGAACTTCCTGCATCGCCCGGCACGGATTATCGGAGGCGACGAGCTCCGTCGCGGATAATCCCGCAATAACATCGGCAAACGTTCGGTTAAGTATTTTTCTCCTCCGTGTGCTCTATGTGTATCTCACCTACCTACTGTATACCCGCGCGTTATGTCGCCCGTGAGTACATCTCGACGAAGCCGCCGTGAGAGCTTAAGAACCGAGAAGGGTACGTGCAATCCGATGATTCTCGCCGATCTTCCGCGAGCTTTATAAAGTGACACGATTCGCGGATATCCGAGAGAGAGAGAGAGAGAGAGAGAGCACGAGCGCACGTGGGCGCGTACATCCTCGCACTCGAGGATCCGGCGGGTACCTGAGAGACATTTTCAGGTGTCTCTCTCGAGATGTAGAGACGCGCTATTTTTACCTTTCCACCTTCCCCACCACCCCCTTCCGGCCCGCCAGCCCGTCGACGTGTTCTTCGTGCTTCCACGGCGGGCACCAGAACGTGAGTATATACCCTGGGACGCTTGTGGAATATCTGCGCTTGCTGGAGACTGTGAAAGAGAGGAAAGGTGAATGGTGATCTCGTGCGTGTGTACTGCGTTCACACATGACCGAACACACTCCCCCCACCCCGATCACTTCCGACTCGCTCTGTCTTGCTTTGTGACGTTTCTCCCGTTCGTTTTCGGCGCGCAGGCCGGAATTTCCTCGGAGAGTTCCGCGAGCGAGCGCGAGCAACGTCCGGCTGACTCTCCGGCGAAATTCGGCAATCTCGGGCCGGCAGAAAATTCGAGTCCGCTGCGGGAACAGTGTCGGGTTTTCTCGCGTGCCCGAAGCAACAATTCCGAGTCGAAAATTCGCATCGCCCCGCGAGGAATCGCGCGGAGGGGACGCGTCTCATGTTTCGCGAATCTGGAGCAAGCATGCATTCTCGTGATACATCGGCGCGATTCTCCGTCGTGTGCGAGTATCGATGACATCGGGTTACATCACGAGAGGACGTCACCGGCCGCAAGCCCACCGACCGTTCACAAGGACACTGCGCCGAACGAACACACACGCACACACACACACACACAAACGACCACTCGCCTCGCCGAAGGGTCCGAGTATTTCGAGACGTCACCGAGATGGGGCCGAGAGTCTCGAGAGGATCGTGGCGAGTCGAAAATCGAGAAGGACTCGACGAGTCGGAGACATCCTGAAGGCTTCAAGCACGAAGACTCGGGCTGGCTTTCCGCGGTTTCGTCGGCAGGATCTCCGGTTTTCAGGCTCTCACGATCCCGAGACTCCCGACGTGTTCCCCTTTTCCTCCCCCCACAAGGATCCCTGACTGAGGGTCTCCGTGGATTCCGGACACGCGGAATCCCCGGATCTCGGGGTCACGGGAGGAATCCGTGCGCGGTTAAACGCGAAGCGACGGCGTGCTGCTCGCGCTTGGTGTGCACGAAGGGCATGTAGATGCTGTTGGGTTTGCAGGTACGATGCCGAGCGTGCCGGTCGGCCTCTCTTATCACGAGATGTTCGCCGTGTCGCTTGGCAGCCCGGCGCTGTGGAGATGCCGCGCCTGCGGGAAGCAGGTGACCAATCGTTGGCACCACTTCCACATACACACCGCGCAGCGCTCGCTGTGCCCTTATTGCCCGGCCACCTACAGCAGGATCGACACTCTGCGCTCGCACATACGCACCAAGCACAGGGACATGCTGTTCGCCGGGAAGGGGTCCTTGTAGAGGACGGTGATCGCCCCGCGAAGGAAGCGGCCGCCGCCACTTCCGCCGCCGCGTCTGCTCCACGAGCGCCCGGTCGCGCCCTTCTTCGGCTTCGGGCTGCCCTGACCGTCCTTCCTCGAACCGACGAGGTACCGGAGGCCCGAGTGGTGAAAACATCCTCAAGAGAAGGAGGAGCAGGAGGAGAACGCGGACTCTTCGGCGGAAAGTGCTTGGGATCTCGCGGCGAATCCTCGCTGGAACTCGATTCCGATCCCACCAACCACGATCTCGCGGGTCCCGAGCATCGTTCTTCCCAGGGGGGGGGGTGAGTGTGGTCGGAAAGAGTGCACCCCCTCCTGAGTTCACGGCGGCAACAGCGGCTGGATCATCATCGGCTGTGATCCGGTCCGAGATGGTATAATCGATTCGCGGGGCGAATCCGTTCGACCAATGGCCTCATTAGCGATAATTGTTTGCCGGTTATAATAATCACGTTTGTCGTCGTCGTCGCGTCTTCGGAAGCCGCCGCCGCGCCGCCGGAGTGGGAAGGCGCGAGAGGGTGAGAGAAAGGACGGTTATCGATCACCGCGCCCTCGAAACTTCCGTCACATCTCGTGAAACGTGGCACGAACGAAAGGGCGACGCGGCGCAGCGAGGGGAGGGAGAAATAAATAGGGCAGGAGATCTATCGACGACGTGCTCTCACGCGCTGACGGTCGGGCGGCGGTGCATGGCTGGCACGAAGTCAGAATTTTGCGAGGACAATCGATCGATAGGTAACGCTTCGAATAGTTTTCGCGAAGACTGTGGCGAGGTGTGGTTCGGTTCTCTCTCGTCGGGGAGGCGGCCGCCGTGAGAAATTGCGGCCGGGCTCGCCCAGGAATCGTCGGGCTCTCCCGCGTGTTTTCCAAATTTCGCGGAGAGAAAGCTCCCCCCGGGCTCGCGTCCGATCGTTTCGCTCTTTCTTTTCACAACGACTCTTCGACGATCGTTGTCCGAGTTCTCGAGTCATCGTTTCTAAAATTAGCCGCGCGAAACGCTCCCGGAAAGCGGAAATTTCATATTAGCGCGATCAGCGCGGTCGCAAGGCGAGACGGGAAAAACTCTGAAGAAAGCGCTTCGTAATCATCGATTACGACCGATGATTCGTCGCGGACTGCTCCGCGACGTCCGGTCGCGATGTCTCGCGGTTTCTCCGACGGTCCGCCCCCTCGAAGACGTTACCACAACATATTGCGCACACGTCGTTGCAATCGTCGCTAGAGATCGGCGAGAGAATTCGTTACGCTTCGTTGACTATTGATTTCGATCGAGAACCGTCTCTCTACGTTTGTCGATGATTCGACGGCACAGTCGAGGTAAGGTAAGGCGAGAAGCGACGAAGAGGGAGGAGAAGGGATGCACGGTGAGGGAACGCCGAGGCGTGGGCCACGCGAGCGCTCACGCTTCGATGTCAAACGGTTCTAATTATATGCAATGGAAGGCTGAAACGCGCGCTGTGATCTTCGAACACCGAAACAAAAATGAAAGAAAGAGAAGGAGAAATTCTTTCAAAGGGTACTATGAATTATTATCGTGATAGCGACCATTATCACTGTTACGAAAAAGAGAGAGAGAGAGAGAGGATCCTATTAATCTTAATATTATTTTCGCTGCGCGATCGTGCGTATTATTATTATGATTATTTCTCACGATCGATTCCTGCGTTGCCAGAGACACAAGCGATCTACGTGTGTGAGTGAACGAGAGTGAGAGAGAGAGAGAGAGAGAGAGAGAGGTATATGCATACGCACACTCCGGTGAACCTCGGTATACGAAAACGAATTCCTCACCCCCCTCATGTTCCCAATTGTTTTAATCGCTCTAATGTCCAAAGACTGGGCCCGGAAGGTCCGGACGAACGATTTTAGTCACTTAGACCGTAAGAAAGTCCCGAGGGAACGAACGTACCATTTTTTTTTTTTTTTATTACGGACCCCTTTACACGTTTTCTCCCTCGCTTGGCGGGCTTTTATCGGACGAGACCGCGAGGATCGGGAGACGAAGTGTGTCGGAATATCTAGGAGCGTAAGTTTTTCTGTTTTTAATTAATCAAGACCCGCAGCTCAGTTTCGTCGTGAGCCTCTACGTCTTCGTCGTCGTCGTCGTAGACCGAGGATGGCGGTATGCGAACACGATAACGCGCGACAGAGACGTTCAATACGTCCGTAACAGTATTACAGTATACATGTGCGTGTGCAGATACGTTCCGTGTAAAAAAATACTTCGGCGGCAGCGGTGATGATGGTGGTTGTGGTGGTGGTGGTAGTAGTGAACGGCGGTGAAACCGCCGCGGGAAAAGTTCGAGCAGTACCGTTCGATGGACGCTCCGCGTCGAGCTTCCTCGCTTTACGCCGCAGAGAAGGCAGCGAGCATCGGGAACTTCGTTCGGTCTTCACGTTTCGTCCATCGCGCGGTCGCACCGTAATAAACGAATCGGGCTCGAGTGCGCGTTTCGCGCTGTAATATTGTTGTTGTTACGTCGACTGGAGCGACCTTATGATCCGAAAAGACGATTCAACGGGCGCTTCGCGAGCTTCCACGCGCGAGCCGGTTTTTGATAATCGCGTTATCGGGGGAGAGAGAGAGAGAAAGAGAGAGAAAATAAAAAAACCACAAATCGGGGCTCTTCGAATGTTTGACGCGCGATTGCCAAAATCGATCACCAAGCGCGGGAATCCGAACGGACGCATCCTATTCGTCGATTCCGTGCTTCTTCCAACCATCCGGATCCGCGGAAAGCTTCGAATTTCATCGACACTCCGCTTCTCACCGTAATCGCGTTCGAGACCAGCCCGAGTGTCTCGGAACTGTAAATATCGGGTAACGAACTGTAAGTCCATCTAGACCGCTCGGGAAGGGCACGAAGAGAATGCGTTAATATTTAGTATAAAAGATTGCGATGCACTCACTTTCCTTTCTCTCTCTCTCTCTCTCTCTCTCTCTCTTCAAATTGCGCGATCCATCTGGGAATAGCGTTGCGCTGTTTGAGGAGCCCCCGTCTTAGATCACTGTCCGCAACGAAACGACGTCTCTCTCGAGACGGCGGATCACTTCAGATATACCCGAACATTTCTCTTTGGACCAAAACTCTTCGTGTAATGAACGGTTGTAATCGCTATCGAGGCTCGTAAAGTACCTAAGCAAACCTCACGCCGAGATGAGAGTTTTTGACGTGTGGTTCCTAAGTTTTATTCATAGCAGCAAGCCAAGTCACAATGGGAGTTATGTGATATATTAGGGGCGGTATTACTAAGGCTAATTACTCGCAGGGACGGACTGGCCGATTAACCTTGTCTCGATGCGATATGGCGAGTGAACGAAGGGAAGAGATGAAAAGGCAAAAAATTAATCAGCGAGAACGTTCACTCGGATCAACGATCACCGAGCTTCTCGTCGATCTTTTCACCGAGGCACGGAAGTTTGTCGAAAAGATCGATACTGAAAGAATGTCCACGGTCTCGCGTGATCGTCCGAGATTACAACGATTCAGGTTTGAAGATCGAACGACGCGCGCGTGAAAACCCTGGACGACGAAGTGTTCTGTGCAGATGTGCACGTCGTGTATTTTTCCGCGTGGTGTTATATTTTATTTGAAAACGCGAGAAACGTCACTGATCGGTCGGTCGGTTCGATCGTGTGTCCAGCCAGTCCGTCCTTGTTGATTGACGCGTTGCGTGTAATGTTTTTCCGAATGCGTGTCGGGATCGCGCGTTTTTCTGCGCGACGTTGTCGAAGACGCGCTTCTCTGATCTCTCGAGGGAGAGATGACACTGCTCGCCTGCGACAAATCGCTCCAGTCTCGGACCTTCGTTGTAAAATCGAGTGTAAATATCGCGGATACTGACGCGGAGCGATCGATACTGTCTACTCTCTACACCGGGTTTTCTTCTTCAATTATTTTTTAATCCCTTTTTCATCTCTTCCTTCTTCTTGTTTTTTATTTTTTTTTTTACGACACGCAAACGTAACGTTAGGGACTCGCTTTAGACTGTCTTTCTGGGCGCAGTACATAAACGCGCGAGCGTCGGCGGACCGGATCCGTTCGGCTCGGAAACTTTTTAGCTAGTCGTCACGAGGATTTGCGCATCGTCTTACGTTCCCGAGCACTCCTCTGATAATAATTGTCGTAGCACGACATTTTATTTCGTCCCCTCTTCCCACTTTGTATCGTACTGTTTTTTTATATCTCGCCTTTGCGTCTTTTCCGCCCGAGGATGCACCCTCGGGTTTCGGGCGTGCGAATGGTCGTGGTTGTGATAAAGGCGGATCTCGCGCGCGCGGTCTTCGCTTTCACGGGCAACGATCTTAGCCGTAGGAGCGTGTCGTCGTCGTCGCATTAATTCCACACGGATAACTAAAAGTAGAATCGGGTCTCGCACGGGTTAAATCGTGCGGCTCTCGCCGGACTCTCCACGGTAAGCTGCACGTCACTGATAACGAGAGACAGGAAGAGGGTGGAGGTGAATGAGAGAACGAGGGGGAGAGAGAGAGAGAGAGAGACTCGTCCGACGTGTACTTTTTCAATCGCGGGCTCGACGGTTTGCGCTCGATTTAAAAAGTTCCGTGTCCGACCAAATTATCGGGTCTGAGTTATTCGAGACGGGATCGCCCGCTTCGCTCCTCTCGCCTCGGCGAGGGTGCAGATGAAAAGGGACATACACACATACACAGACAGGTCCACAAACTCACTACATTGTAAATAGGGTACCGCGGCCGCGAGACTGGAGTGGTGTCATCTCGTGATACGTCCAAATGGAATTGTGACGTTTCCTCGATCAGCGCAGATACGTCATGTCGATCCCATCGGAATCCTCCACACAACTCAAATGGAGCTAGGTAGTACGTATACATATGCATACACCGCGCATACATATATTATGTAATACATAATACGTAGATAGCTATACTCGAGTGTACAGGGCGTGCGTCTCAAAAAGTGTGCTTACCGACGGCTAGGATTATCTCCCTCCGACCGAGGGATTTCGCGCGAACGTTTCCTCGGCGAGAGCTCGATCCTACCTTCCAGTTTCACACGTCGGCAACCTCGAGTTCGTCGACGGTTAAGGCCTACGAATCCGATCATTCCGATGCGCCGATACTAACTGATTTGTCGCGGTGTAAACGGACGGATTCGAAATAGAACGATTCCGAGAAGTCTACGATTGGATCCAAGACATCAGCAACTTTCAGAAATGATAAATTCTCCGATCATCAGCCGACTGTGTCCCGGACACTTCCGTTTCTCTTCTTCCCGGTTTGACATTTTCGCGGGTGCGGAAAAATTCCAGCATCTCACGGATTGAACTCTCCCGGGGGATTGTACGCGCGCGCGAGAAACAGCCTCCGGTAATTGTTACACGCTCTTTGCGCGACACCCCGTACACGTGTCTCCGTGTTGGTGGTCCGGTGTAGCGGAAATGGGGACTTCGAGGACGGCTGTTTAATTTGCTGAGTCTGCCGACTTTCCGATCGATCCGCTGCGCGCGAGGTGTCGCGAGGTAAATATCGGCTTCGTCAAACATGCAGAGCGACGCGGCCGTCGCAGCCGGCTGCGTATCTCCCCGATGCAACTCGTCGCTTCCTTCCGATGCAGCAGCCTTCCGGCCGACGCAGTTGCTTTCTGTCTTCCGTCTTCGCGCGCGTTCCTCACTTCGGTTTCCCTTAGTTAGACAAAGACTTATAGAGAGAGAGTCTCGTTCGTCGTCGGACTGCGAGGCGTCTTCCTCGATAACGACGTCGCACAAAGTCGCAACTACCCGCGCGGTTACTTCGCGTCTGCACCTCGCGACCACGCGGGGGCACTCTCTGGATTTCTCGGAGCGGAATCTCGCTCGAAATAAGGGAAATATGACGGTGTTTTCACTCGAAGCGAAAATATCGCCACTCGAAATCGCGAGGGTGATTGTTTGACTTAAGCTTAGAACGGATCTCGATTCCATACCACCAGAAACAAATGAAGTTCATAGAAGTGTAGATCTTTTTTCTCTTCTGCCCTCGTCGTCACTTTGCGTACCTTTCGTTTCTGTTATCGTCGTTGTACGTATCCTGTTTTATTTCACGCAAGAAAGGGAACTTGTTCCGTTCGTTCTATAAATAAATGAATCTTTCAATCGATCGGAACGAATTTGTTCCCATGGGACACGTGTCAGATTCACTCTTCAGTTTCGAATGAAAATGCTCACTCGATTACTCAGAGCGGAGAATTCACTCCGTACGTGGTGAAAAGTCAGATCGAGTCGCTGTCGTTTTACTTTTCGAGTGAAAGCTCACTCCGAGAAATTTCGAGAGCACGACGCAATCGGACGTTCCTGTACTCTCTCTACGCTACCGCTTGCGCTACACACAAACGCCACAAACAAGTTCCTAGACGCCGAGCGGCGCGATCTCCCGCACCTGGCCACCGACACCGCAATTCACCGAATTATCGCCCTCGATACCAAATGTTCCTTGTTGTTTTCTCGCGAGAATACTCCTGTAAATAGTGAACGTCGATAACTGATGAAGCGCGTGCGAATCGCGAGCGAGGTGAGGTCGAATTCAATTGTGATAAGCTCGAAACGGAGAGTGCGCCCAGCGAACTCTGTCGATCACCGCGATAAGGTTCCAAGGTGTGTACTAAGTTTAAAGGGATTCTTTGTTTCCTTCCTATTTTAATCCCTTTTACGTTATCGTTATCCTTTCTTAGGAGGGAGAGAGAAAGAGAGAGAGAGAGAGAGAGGAGAAACCGCGCCCTCTCCCTTCCTTAACCCGCGTAACTCGTGTCCCACGTCGGAACCTTCTTGGTTCTCTTTTCCCTTTTTTAGTCCAAAGATTTCGAGATCTTTCAGCGAGCGCGCTTCGCGAGCACATCGCGGCGGAATCGCGTCTGTTGTTTCGTGCGCGCTTACAAGCAGATAAAATGCCGACTCGTACAAGTGGCTGACGAATTGCGAATCACCCCACTCCCCATGATCCACCCCCGATTCGTCCTTCCTTCCATCCTACGTCGTCGACGATATCGGCTTGGTAAGTTTCGGAGCCGACGAGCGTATTCTCGTCACGACGGTTAGGATTCGGATTGTCAGTTATTGCACACACTCGATGTAACTACATATAAATATCGATATCAATCTGTCAGTCTCGTGTCTCTTGATGGTACTTAAAACGAAACGGCCCCCTCGGGCCGGCCGCCGCCGCGCTCCACAGCGGCGCGGCCTCGATAATGTTCTTTATGCGCAGTAAGTTAATAAAAGGAAACGGAGAAAAAAGGGAAAACCAGAAAAAAAATAGCAGGAAACGAAATATGGTAAAGAATCTTCTCTCGTAGCACACGTTCCTCCTCTTGGCCCGTGACGTGCCCGTGACTCGAGCACGAATCATTTTTTTGTACATAATAATAATAATAATAACACTATACGACACACAAGCGAGCCGCGCGAGTTCGCGGCTGCGATACTCGAGAGCTAACGATGATAACGCCACTGTGTTGCGTCGCGAGTTGTGTGAACCGACCTTGCGTATAAACTCATTGCTCGTTTATATGCGATGTATTTTTGTGAACAGTATTGAAAGTGCTACTGTTGTACAGTTATCACACACGGTATAAATGTACTATGATGATGTACCTATATTGTACATAGATATATTTAATTAAAGTGAATATGAATTTGTGTAGCCCTCGGGATGCTCAATTCGCCGTCCCCCTTTCTTTCCCGGACGAACACCTTTCCCTGAAAGGTCGGACGGAGGACTCGTCTTGATCCTCGGATGCGAGCCACTCTGATTCATTTTACTCGCCGTGTTCCCTCGCTTATGTGTGAACTCACCGGTAATGCCGAGTCGGAATTTTGGATCTATGTTAAGCTTTCAATTCTGATAATTTAATTCTACTCTGAGCCTGATGATACTTTCGATTTTCGTTTGTGCGGTTTTAGCGCTGAAATAAGTAGTTCAAGGCAGCGTGAAAATTCAATCTGTAGAAATAAAAGTTCAAGAGAAAGGTTGATAAGTGTTGGTATTGTAAAAGTAAATTTTTACTAGTCTATTGACCATCTGGAATAGATGCAAATTATTCTTAAGATGGTCGGTCTGTAGAGACTGCTGGATTTTCAATGGCGATATTAAGGGATCCCTTCATAAGTTTATTATTTAAAACAGTACTTTCCTGTAACTTTATTTAACCATCTAGCTAACTATCTGTCTGGTAAATGTTAAATTTGAGCGCGCAAAATTGAGAAAAATATACACACAATATTACAAACACAGAGATATTTGTTATTTTTTTATTTTCCATACTAATGCCTTATTTATACGTCAGTTGAGCTAATAGATGTACACATAGAAAGTGGTATATAAATATTCAAATATGTAGCTACAATTTCAAAGGATTCCTAAGAAAATGATTTGGCGGGCCAACTATCTTAAGAACGTCAAAGTAGCGTCAAAATTTCGATTTAGGACTTGGACTTGAGGTGCAAGACGAATTCGTCACATCGACTTTGCCAGAAATTCGGGTCCAGCTCGGCCACGGTACGTGGGATACACGCGAAATCAAGTTCCCGAGAAGGCTGTTCCTCGCGAATTTCTCGCGTTATCTCGATGCATATCGATGCGCGATCTCGCTTCTATATTTGGCGCGATAATGTTTCACGTCTCGGCTCGCGATCCGTATCTTGCAAGAGAGAGAGAGAGAGAGAGAAAGAGAGAGAGAAAGGCTCCAGACATGTCGAATCCCCCGCTGTTTGCGCTGTTTGCTGCACGTATTGTCGAAAGAAACTCACTTAATAGCCGTGACGTCCACGCCAGATAACGTCTGCGCGTATGCGAAATATGCAAATACCGCGCAGCCGGTGAATGAGACGAAAGGTAAGACCATCGAGGGACAAGTCTGTTGCGTTCTCGAATATTTCTCCGAAATGAGAATACGAGATTGTGTAAAATGCAGTTAAAGTCGGTGTCACGAAAAGTGTCCTACAAAATCGTGAAATTCTGATTTTCGAAAATTGAGACTGGAAACGCTTGAAACATATTTACTGGATAACGCGAAATAAAATTCTGTCAGTATTTGGTAATTCACCTATTTTTACAGCGAGAGAAAAAAATATCTAAAAATATAAAATATTTATTCGGTGGGTACTGAAAACACATATTTATTTAAATCTATATTCATTTGTTTAAATAGAATAAATAATTGCTCTCATGGGAAGCTGCAGGTTTAGAAAATGTATATTTGCCCGCTTGAAAAACATTTTTTCATTGCAAAAATATACGTATTTTGGTACAAGTATAAATTATGTTGCTAGTACCCACCGAACAAATATTTATCATTTCTCTTGGATATTTTTTCTCTCAATATATCAGGTCGATTCAGTGGTATCTTGATGCGATACTCACACTTGAAAAATGCCTCGTTCACGTATCAGCATGCAAATTAATCCTCCCTTTCGAGTGATAACGCGTTTGAGAGGAGTTCTTATCGCGCGACTTGCGGGGCGTTCCTCTCCTCGAGAAACGCGCGCGTGCGACATTTTGTACTTCGAAATTTCGCCGCGTCCGATAAATGAAATTACGACTACGGGCGATTTCGAGCGCCGGGCCGGCGCCGCTTCCGTCGCCCGGAGAAAAAGAAGAGATAGGAAGATGTAGTGCGCGGGTGCTCGAACGTACAGCGTTTTCGCGCCGTCTTCGCGGCGCGCCTCCTCGCCAGACTTTACGGCGGACGTGAGCTGGAAGTCAAATCGTCGGCCGGATCCATCGGATATGCTGCGGGCAACGCCGTTCTACGTGCGTTACACGCGAATTTGCAATTTCGCCGAAAATAATAGCGAAAATAAGTCGCGAACGTTGCGCGAGAGCGCGCGCGGCGACTCGACGACTGCTCTCCGCTGAATCGCTCGCTTAGCCGGATTCTCCTTCGCATTCTCGCCGACGATGGTAATATCGGTTGGTAAATTCTACGCGTTACGTGACGCGAGCACGATTCGTGCTTTCGAAAAATGAGCCTCGCGCGATGCCGGCTCCTTATGACACCTTGAATGCGCGAACGCGCGCCGTTCATCGAGAACGTTCGTATCGATTTCCACGGAAAGATATACAATAGTTAACGATATAGAGATTGAAAGAAAGAAAAATAGCTGTATTCGTTGCACGATATGTGCGGCGTGTTTCAATCTACGACGCCGGGGCTGAAAAATTCAAATCCTACGCCCTTGATAAGGCGAGACCGGAGCAGACTCGTGATTATTCTACTCACGTAATTACGGATAAATGAAAAAAGAATAAAACCTCGTCTTTTCCCTTCTCTCTCCGGGCTCTCTCTCGACGCTTCATTTAGATAAGGAAAAAAGATTCTTAATCAGTCTAATTAGAGCGGCGACGCGCGCTCCCAATTTGTTCAAGCGAGTACTCGAACGCTCGGGAGCGATCTATCGATTGTGACCTATCGATGGACGGACAACTATCTTCAGGGGGCGCTTCGTTTAATGGACGAGGCTGTTGACACAGGTAACTTTTCCGTCCAGGGAATTACTCTCATAACTCTCTTTCCTCTATTCTTTATTTTGTATCTAAAATGGCGCTTGAGAGGAAGTTTTCCTGAGTGCACGATAAATTCATCTATCTCCCTCCCCTTCTCTCTCTCTCTCTCTGTCGCAGAGACGAGCATATTCGACGCAAGCGAATCGGAGCGAATCGAGTCGCCTTGCGCAATTACCTCGCAGCCTTCGCGGCTATCAGCTCCGGCTGGAACGAATCCCGAAAACACGACGACTCCAAGAGCTCGATGACGACCGCCGCCGCCTCTCGCCCTGCCGCTATCGGCCAGCATTACGCAACGGCGAGATAACGTTACCCGCGTCTCGTTGGCGCACACTCCGACGGCGAGAAGGAGGCAGCGAGCTGTGCGAAGATGAAGAAGCGAAAGTCGACGGCCTGGAGCCGAGCGGCACGGAAGAGAGACAGGAGAAAGAGGGAGAGAGAGAGAGAGAGCGGTTGCGACTCGGCGCCGGCAGATGGCGGCGCGTCGCCGAGACGATTCACGTCGAGCCCGCCGCGCTACAATGTTTCCCCCGGCTCCGATCAATGCCGTCCGGCGTTGCGGCTCCGTTCTTTAAAATCCAAAGGCCGTCGTTCGCCGTCCGGCCAGGTCGACTCCCTCTTATTCTCGGCCACGCTCGTCGGTCTCGCGCGTGCGACTCACGACGTGATCTCGGCGATGACGCTGCAGGCGATCACCTGGGACAACGGCAGGCTGGAGATCTTGGACCAAACGCTGCTGCCGGAGACCACGCGCTCCGTCCTCATCAGCGGCGTGGAGGATGGCTGGCACGCGATCAACAAGATGCAGGTAACGCCCGGGTGATCTCTGTCCGCGCGGAACCTCGTCGGCCAGTCTCGCTAACGCTTCGCGATAATCGCGAGACGCGTCTCGCTCGATCGAACGTCGATTCGGCACGCCGCTCCCCGATCCCCCTCCTGGTCCCCCTACTCTCGCGCCTTAATCAAACCTCTCAATATATTGTCAATATTTACCATTGTACCACGACATTGTGTCTTTTTTACATTTGCCATCCAGCGCACGACATTTGTTTGCTTTGCCGGGGCCGTTTGTGGCCGCACAGATATATATGTGCCAGCAGGAATGAGTCGGTGTATGCGTGACGTATGGATGTGTGCGGCCGGTGGCGGGAAGATTGCAACGCTTTTTAATTTGACGAATTTCGGGATAAATGAGAACAATTGTCCGCGCGATTTATTTCGACGCGAATATGGGCGTATTTCGAAATAGAGATTTGATTGGCCACCAATGAGAGAGATGAAGTTGGCAGTAATGACAATTACCGGGTGCTGCGGTTTCATGTCTCCCACTCAGTAAATCAGCTTTTGATGAATGGGCGATTGAGATTCAAAAATCGGAAATTATATTGAACGCGCGACATGCTCAATAATTTCTAATTTTTTTTCGGACTGTCCTCCTTTCATTTTTATCATTATTGAATAAAGTAATTTTCAATTCTTCGTCACTGTCGCTAGAAGAGGAACTACCGGATGATTTGAAAATGTTTTTAAATTAAATATATCCTTCCATTATTATATTATGATTTTTGCCTTGTTTCAGTTAATTCACAATTGATTTACCTTTCTTTTGTAATAATTCTTGAGTGTTTGGCTAACTGTCCATATACTAAGAGCTGATTTACTGGTAGGAGATACGAAGTGCAGCATCAGTAATTATTATTGCCAATTTCATCTTTTTTATCGACCAAATCTATTTCGGAATACAGCCCGTATCAGCGAAAAATAATTACGAAACACTCTGCATGTAATGGCGGAATTCTAAAGAAAGAGAGAGAGAGAGAGAGATAATGGAGAATGGGATGGAAAAAAGTCGCGACACTTTCATCGCGACGAATTTCAAAGCGCATCGAGCGTCCAATAGGAGAATACGTTTCCTGAGATTTACCAGCAAGCGAATTATCCCATTGGACAGGGACGCACTGCAAAATTAATCGGGGAAACGAGCGTTTCAATGTTTCCACCACTGGCTATGCGAAGATATTTCGACACGATCGTGCGCGCGCGTGTATCTCTCACCAACGTAACCGTCACAATGTAACGAACGTGTGCGTAGGTACGAGGTGCACCAGCCATCGCTATCGTCGGCTGTCTCAGCCTGGCAGCCGAGATATTGCCTGAAAATATCACTGATAAAAAACGCTTCCGTCACGAGGTCGAGGGCAAGCTGAATTACTTGGTGTCGGCGCGTCCGACCGCTGTTAACATGAAGACGGCGGCCGACGAGCTTATCACGCTGGTCAACAGCCTCAGCGAGAACGACAAGGTCACAGCGTGCGAGATGAAAGACAGGTAAATGCATATATAAACGCGTCCACGGCGTCCGGCGCCGAGGATCACAGGCGGAGAGAGAGAGAGAGAGAGAGAGAGGCATTCTTATACTCCACTTTGAAAATCCTCGTTATAGATTCATAAATACCATAGTTGCCATGCTGGAGAAAGACGTGGCCGACAACCAGGCGATCGGTAATTACGGCGCTGACGAGATCCTGCGCAGCGTGCCCGGGGACAGCTTTATCAGGATCCTCACGCACTGCAACACCGGCAGCCTCGCCACCGCCGGATACGGCACCGCTCTGGGTGTCATCAGATCGCTCCGCAAGAGGAAGAAACTCGGTGCGTGTCCGGCCGGTTATCTCAGGTCCCCTGCTCAGATGCAAAGGAAAGATACAAAGTGCCGTTAGACGTTTTTATCTCCAACTTGCTGTCTGCTTCCAGATCATGTGTACTGCACCGAGACGAGACCGTACAATCAGGGCGCCCGTCTGACCGCCTACGAGCTGGTGCACGATAAGATACCGGCAACTCTAATTTGCGACGACATGGTCGCCGCGCTGCTGAAAAGCAAGCAGATTACGGCGGTGGTCGTGGGCGCGGATCGGGTCGCCGCCAGCGGCGACACCGCCAACAAGATCGGCACTTATCAGGTAACAAACGTGTCCCGGGCGATCGACAACGTCGTCTGGGAAACGTCGCTTCTCCCTGTGCACTTGGTACTTTATTCCATGTATCCCGTTCGATTGCAGATCGCGATCCTCGCGAAACATCACGGCGTTCCCTTCTACGTGGCTGCGCCGCGCACCTCCATAGACTTCGCGATAGCCAGTGGCGATCAGATCGTCATCGAGGAGCGGCCCGAACGGGAGATGACGCACATCAAGGAGCAGAGGATCGCAGCGCCGGGTATACAGTGCTGGAATCCGGCGTTCGACGTGACACCGGCGCACCTCATCGCCGGCATAATCACGGAAGTCGGCGTTTACCGGCCGCCAGAGCTCATACGACTGAGTACGGAGGAAAATTTGGAGCGAACACGAATTTCGTAAACTTTCTCGACTCAGTACGTCAGTCGTTCTTTGTCCTCGCCTTTCTTCCGTTCCTTTCTTTTTCTTTCCTTCGAACGCGGATTCACAAACGGGATTCATGCCAAACCGAAGAGCATCGAGACGTAAGACTGCTTTGATCTAATCTCCTGAACACAGTGCCATTTTCTAGAGGAGTTCGCTTGTGCGAAGTAGGGAACTCAGGGAAATCAACAGAATCGATGAGATCGATGAGAGAGGCTAATACCGGAGAGAATCGTCGTATAAAGAGTGTTCCAGGGCCGTGATCTCGACGCCCATCGAGGTCGCGCGATTTTTTATCGCGATTTTTGTGAACTTTTAAGGATAATCAGGTACGCTATTGCACTACTGTTACATATACACTATTGTTATACTATGCTGTTGGTTGCATAACATTGCCATGTTAATTTTACGACTCTTAATCACAAAGGGCAAAAAGAAAGGTTCTCGAAATATTTTGTCATCTGCTCAATCGATCACAAGTGCTACTTTATAGACATACCTTTTTATTTTTTAAGAATTTTTTGAACGTTATTTTTTTTTCTTTGTTTCTAATATTATTAGTTAACACACGGAGAGGAAACTAGTTTGCCTCATTGTGTGAGGGAAAGTGTGGGAGAAAGTTTTTGACAAAGTATTATTACGAAATAATATATATATCACAAATGTTTTGAGATGACATTGTACATTTGTTAAATATATAACATATTTTTCGAGAAACTAAGACTGCGTTGGAAAATATTGCGTTTATTAAGCTTATCACGTAAGTTTGTCGCTTTTTCGTTATGTGATTATTCCTGCGTGCCTACACGTTTCCGCGCACACTAGTGAATATTGATGCAAGGAGGATATACAAAACTATGTTAACTCGCAGATAATATTGAGGTAGTCGGATCGTAGGAGGCATTACTGTCCATAGGGAAATACGAACAATGCCACACTGGGTTACTTTTAGTCGTCGCAGCTGATAACGTTCTAGCCCCGTTATCTCGCTAACAGCCACGAAATGATCGACAAGAGAATCGTCACGCCAATCGGTTGGACAGTCGTCCCGTGATTTCCTTTCTGCTTAGGGAACATCTCTTGTGCGTACACGAAATTTGAAGAGTCTGTTGAAGAGTCTGTGTATGAAATTCGCCACTCGACGCCTGTGTGTACCGGGCTGCGTTTCTCGAAGTACTGTTCCACCACGTCCGCCGTGGTGACGCCTGTGAAAATTCAACGGTGTCACGATAAACGACGTTATTCTCGCCCGCTGGTAAAAATGGTTCGCGTTTGCGAAGTGAATGTTAGAGGTGACGCGTATCACAATGTATCAACGTACCGAGGGAAGTTGACTTGAGGCCCTCGAGCATATGGAAACCATCTCCGCCGTTCGCCATGAAATCGTTCACGAGGACCTTGTAGGTGGCATTCTCCTGAAGATCACTGTACGTCGGTATCTGGCAATCGGCGCATTGAACTTGAACGGAAACCACCCTCGAGTTCTTTGGCTGAGTCATGTCGTAGGTCACCTGCAAATAACGCGAACGTGTCCGAATTTGCTCGCGAAAGTTGCGTCCCGATAAATGCAGATTAGAAGACCAACAGGCACGGAAGCGACTCGCTTCTCTCACTTCTCTTAACTTATTTAGGAACACCTCACTTTTAAGAAAAAAAGTTCACACTTTTCTTACTCGATTTATGAGCCCTTTCAAAAACTTGATCGCAAGAAATCATGTTCGATAATTTGCTTCTTTAAGGACAAAACGAAAGATTCAAAGAAGCAGAACGTAACAGTGATCTTGACAACACAATATTCATAAAGTAAAGAACTCTGATTTTGTTTTTCGTCTGTTTTTATCAGATTTGTTAGAAAACAGACAATGACCGTCAGAAGCATATCTGACAGTGTTTTTTCTTAAATAATGCAGTAGGATCGTTTGTTCACGTTTGTTAATCCATAATTTTTGTTTGTTCATCAAGCCAAAACGAGTTTTTAACAAACAAAAGCCAAGAAAAGAGACAATCACCGTGCGGAGTATATGTGACTGTTTTTTTTTTTAATTAAATATTACGGAATATTGTTGTATATTATTCTTAAGAAGTTGATTTGGCGGAGATTGCACGTAATCTTCGTCGGATTTGTTTCCGCGTTTCTGAATTACCTGCAGTCCTCCGTATTGCAGGTAAGCGCCATATAAGTTGCCGGTGGATGTCCGGTTTTCGAGGTTGTAGACACTCCACTCGAGCATCGAAAGGATCTGCTTTCTCGTCATGGAAACCACTTGGATCACGTTGCCGAAAGGCAAGACGCTTATGATGTCACCTCTAGTGACCTGCAACGTGACATTACAGTACAACACTGTGCTCGATGTGTCTTGCAGAGGTGACATTCTTAACACGTTGTTCATGAGGATCACTGGTGATCGATTCGGTGATTCCGTCGGATTTCATTAATTTATGCGTAAAACGTGACTATTAATGGTATCTAATGAATTAAGGCGCCTTAACTCGCTTAATGACTTTCACCAAACTCTGATTAAGCTAATCAATGATTTAAAATTGCCGTCGGTCAAGTGTTACTTGCTCTATCTTGCTAACACATATAGAAATTATGAACTTTTCGATTATTGTTGAATAACAAGTTTTATAAAACTGGAAATTGAGGATGGCAATTCTAATTATTACTCATCGATTAGCTGAATTGAATTTTGATGAAAGTTACTTTGAGTAATCAACGTGTCGGAAAAAAAAACAAGAGAAACTTATTTTATAATCACCGTATCATCTTTCACTCTGGCGATGGACGTTCTAATACTGCCACTGTTCTGAACTGCAATGGCAGCATCCGTCCATCCCTTCTTAGACAAATATTCACTGGCGTACTGTGAACAGAGAAGACAAGAAAAAATGAATTGTCAATCTCGAGTTGTGAATATTTCGCGATACAGAAAGGTACGATTCGCGTTGAATTGATGGGAGATCTTACATAATCGAGTAGAGCGTCGCAGATCAGATTTCCCAAGTTGCATTCTTTTCGCCTGCAGTTCTTGCTATCTCCGTCGAGGAGCACTCGTGTTTTCCCGATCTCTTTGGTCATCAAATCGTCGATGGGCTTTCTCATCTCGGCTATTTTCGCCTGGACATCTCTCGCCTGCGATAAGGATTACGAAGAATATATTATATATGTTACATATAATATATATGCTTTTTGAATGTATATACATTGAGAGAAAAATATATCTAAAACATAAAAAAAATATTCAGTGAGTAATAATAACATATTTACTTATATCAGTTTTTGAGAAAAATTTTAAGAAATAAGAAAATATATTTCCTTAAATGTGTAACTTTGCATGAAGACAATATATTTATCCTATTTGAAGAAAATAATTTAAAGAGATTTAAATAAATATGTTATTGGAATATCTTCACCGAATAAATATCTTTTATTTTTTAGATATTTTTCCTTCAGTATACATATATGTATTATATATATCTTTATGTTTTAACTCTTTAATATTTTTACATATAATAAACACATATTAATTTTACATACAATACACACATATAAATTACATATAATTTTTTTCACACAACATTTATATGTATTATAGTATATGTATTATAATTTATATACTATTTTTATTCATCAACATTCAGTTGCATTTACAACCAGTTCTTCCACACGACTTCGAAAACCTACCTGCTCCACGCTGGAATCCACCAGGATCGGGTTTCCCTCGATGTGCGTCACCTCTCCGCTAGCGTCGAAGCTCACAGAGAAATTACCCAAGTATTTGGTATAGGCGTACGCTTGAACGACATAGACCGTCCTACCACTTTTCTGTTTCACCTCCGTAGGATAATAACCTTCCGGTACCTCAGAATCCGGTGGGTCACCCTTATACAAGAAGGTGTTCGTGTGACCGCCAATCACCAGATCGATGTCCTCGACTTCCTTGGCGATCCTCTTGTCGGTCTCGTAGCCGGAATGACCTAGAGCGATGAGAATGTCGACACCCTGATCCTTGAGCTTTTTAACCTCTTCCCGGATGGATTCTACCTCGTCTTTAAAGATTACGTTCTCGCTGGTCGACAGGATCTTCGTTTCAGGTGTCAGGTAACCGATAACACCGATCTTCCGGTCGCCCACAGTGAGGACTGTGCTATTCTTTAGCTTCGTAGCTCGCAGATTCAGCTGTTTACTGAGATCCAGATTCGACGTTACGATGGGAAATGTAACGTTTTGTATGAACGGTATCAAACCCTCGACACCGTCGTCGAACTCGTGGTTGCCCAAACTCTGAATTTATTCAATTAAAATTTCTGTGAAATGCAATGGGAGACGATAAGATCATACGATCTCATACATGGAAAAAAGAATTATCTATATCTCGCAGCTGAAAACTAACTCCCATGGATAAAAATTAGCTGTCCATATAATACAACTGAAATTTAGTCAATTCAGTTAATTTTTTTTTATTCCTGTATCTAGTTTTCATCTCCCACAGCTAAAAACTAAGTCTGATAACTAAATTTCTTTAAACGTAATAAACGTATAAACTTAATTAGAATCGCCGGTATGTAGATTGGCAAATCTCTCCCTCTGCCTCTTCAAGAGATTTTGCTTAATCTGATTCTAAATCTATACTTACGATAGCGTCTGGTTTCAAGAGATTTAGAAACACCGCCGGCGCCACCCATTTGTAAACGTTGTACCATGCAGTTCCCTGATAAGTGTCGCCGGCGTTCAAGAAGATCGTCGGCCTTTGCGACCTCGCTTGGCGTACCAAGGTCGCGATTCTGGCGAAGCCTCCGTAACACTTTCCCTCTTTGGAGTCTTTCGGTGTACACGCGGTCGACAATTTCGACGTTTCCTCGAATCTGAAAACGTGTCACTTGCTAACGTATAATTTGCGGGCGATCAGGCGATGCGTTAGATACGCGAGTCACGATGTCGAAAGAACGAGAAAGATTTCTCGTGAAATTATCCCCATGTGAGAACACTTAGGCGGCGTTTAATTTCCAGTTGAAGAAATTATTTTTATTTCCACGTGAGGAATTATTTCAAGGTATAGAAAGCGGAATATAAATATTTAAATATGTATATATATTCATATTGCAGGAGTTACTATTAATTGCAAATTTTCTAAGGCCATATCTTTAAAACAAGAAATGGCAAAAAATCCTGAACTTTTCGTATAATTCGCAATAATTTTTTTTATTAAAATCTTAAATGTGATTTGGAAGAAATTCAAAATAGGACATTAACCTCAAGGCACACATATAAAAAGTGTCACCTTCAGAATATCGAATATCTCAGCTTCCGAATGGCCAATCTTTTCTAACTTTACAGACACATAGATAGTATTTCTTCATCAATATGCTAAAATTTAAAAGGATTCCTAAGAAAGTGGTTTGATGGACCAACTAACTTAACGTTCGTGTCTCAGAGCACGGTGACGGTAATTATTGTCTCGCGCGATACACCGAGTGCTTAGATAAGTTACATTCCCATAAGCTGCCCGTTTACCCGATCGGTGAAAGTCGAGCGCGCGATTTTACTTTTTCTTCCGATAGTAAGAGACAAAGTTTACCTCGCATGCATGTCGTTCGTGTGAACGATCCTGATGGTGAAATCGTCATCCTTCTTCAAAACGGGATTCGAGAGGATCCCATTCGCGAATACCAACAGCGCGACAGCGCAATACTTGGCGATCAGTTCCATCGACACGCTCGTTTGTTACTCGCTTGTTACTTGCGTTTCCACTCTTTTTTTTTACGAGTTTTCCTCGTTTCTTATCTACGTTTTGTTTGCCGCACCGATAAGACACGTTTTTCCCACACACGGTGGCACAAACTATCTCATTTTCCTCAAGACCGACGAGCTACCACGTTGCACCTGGCGCGATTCGACATCTGTAAGAACACGTAAGACACACTTCATCCTATTTCATTTCACTGACCACATCTCTCGGTCTCGCACGCTCGATCTCACGCAGACTCTTCGAAGCCGCGCGGGGAACGCGGAAAAGCGTGCACACGTTATCAAAAGCGCGAGAATATATTTTCGTTTGCGCCGCGTTCGAGGCGCGACATTCATAAAATATGCGAGAATCTAAATCCATTTCGGCTACTACGATCCGTTTCGAAACACACGGCGGGCTCGCCAAGAAACGCAACGGCTCGTAAAATCACGCGTGCTTCAAGATCAGACGGTTCGAGGGCGAGTAATCAATCCGGCCGAACCGCTTGGCACCGTGCCTGACTAATTTTCGCGGGGGAAACGGTTAATGGAATTACCAGCTCCTCCGGGGTTTGCGCGTTGAGACACCCTTTCGCCCACTCGGCAGTATCCGGGCTACAATGTGACTTGGTCATCCCCGAGGCGGGGATTTAATTCCGGCCTTCCAGATCTCGCAAGAGAACGCACGAACGACGAAAACGAGCGAGCTATAACATTACGTCACGTGTAATCCCCCGTTTAATACCCCTCGATGCGCCACCAGTGCCAGTCGGTGCGACCGGTGCCAAAGATTGAGTAATACCCACACCGCGCCATCGACGACCGGCGTAACAACTATGCTAAACTGTGTTACAATGTAAGCTGTAATTTCAACGTGACGAGATCTTGAGATAACTTGGAATCGCACATTTACGGCGAGCCGATCGCATCCTCTCACCGTCTCTTTCATATTCGTCGTCTCGTTATCCTCCGGTCTCTTAATTATACTTTCTATCTTCTCATCTTCTAATTAACACCTTTTCATATATGATTATATGTAAATATAAATATAATCATATATAATTATATATGAGAAATTCTTTTCCCGGGGATACGTTCTATCGAGTAGCGCGCGCGAGAAATTTGCCGAAAATTGTTCGAAGCGTTCTAATTCTAAACGGCCCGAAGCGAAGACAGAGAAAGAAGCAACGTACCGAGTTAACGCACCAACTACCGTCACTTGACTGCGAAGGGTGCTGATAAATACTGGCATAATTACGAGAGCAGACGCGTATTAATTGCTCTTCCGTGTTATCGTGACGGCAGCGGCGGCGGCGGTGGCGATGGCAGTGACAGCGGTGGAGGCGGCGGCGGAGGTGGCAACGGCGGTGTTTTCGAGCGAGTTGTAATACATGTGCGGAGCAAGAGACGCCGAGCCGATTTTGCCGAGCGACCGGGGTCGACTGAATATGACAGACGTCGACGGCTGCCGACGTGCGGGCCCCACCGGATTCCTTTTTCCGACTTCTCCGTCGAGATTTCTGCTACTTTGAACCAGCACGCTTCGTCGGGAAACGCTCAGCTCGCCGGGCCTCGTTTGCACGCCTTGGCAATTTTCTGACCGAAAGTGGTCGAGAGACGATGAGGAGCGGAAGGGAGAATAATAAGAAGAAGAATAGTCGAATGTAATAAGAGAGTCGAATTTAATCGACGCTGCCGCTTATCTGGCTAATTCCTTGTCATAAATATACTCATCGTGCGTTTGAGACTTATCGCGGTTTTCTATCGCGGGTCGTGTTTTCATCACACCCCGACTTGAGATAATTTCGACGAAAACATTCGACAAGCGCTCAGATAAAATAATCAAAAGCATTCGAAAGAGTACTTAGATACGCTCGCTTACTCCATTTTTGTGGGGAGCGCTTGTTTGTCAAAGTGTTGGTACATACCTGTGAGTCGTTTCACTGTTCAGATAACTTCTATTCTCAAAATGGACGATGGCGTAAGCGTGATTTAGAATAACGAGCTCGTCGTCATAAGATTATTACCTTGACAATGGTATGTGCTAACTTGTTCGTAAGATAACACTCGGAGAAAAATATTAGGTTTTTATAATTATAATCATCACAATGGAAGAATTATAGTCAGGGAAACAATTGTTTTATAAATGTTACTATAGTGTCAATGGTGATCTTACACACGTGTTGCTACTATACAGAGCAAAATATTAAGTACTGCGGATAAAAGCGATTAATCAGTTTATTTTTCTTCTTTCAAGTAATCTAAGTTATCTTGAATAAAGAATATCTTCTTAATAATGATGTTAAAATATACTAACATCATAAATATTACAAAAATTCATTATCATTTACTCAAAAGAAGAATTTTTCTCTTTTCAAGAATATTATAAATAAATAAACAATCTTAATAAATAATAAACATCGATAGAACAGACTTTATCGAAGAAAGGTTAAATACAATTAATTTGAATAGATAAACCGAAGTTTTAATTTTAGTCTTTTAATTTAAGATTTTTGACAATAACAAGTACTTATCGATTTCGATTTCGATAAGTACTTGTTATTATTTCGAAATTTGTATGCGTTTGTGAGTGTATGCGTGAGTGGACGATAAGAGATTCGATGAGAGATTCCTTGGAGATGCCAACGGAAAGATATAATTCTCGCACAGAGCGAGTGCGTACCTTGGTTCTCTCAGTACGATATTTAATTTAACCGAGAGAAATTATAATTATTTTTGGCCTCAATTATATTCTCTTTACGGTTTTAAACACAAAAATGGTACACACGGAAAAATACATACTGCGTTGAAAAGTAAATATTATACTTGCTTCAAGTATTTTTCATAAATTTATATATACACTAATATATCACAAGTTTATCATAAGCATCAAATTTTTCTTCAAAATATATTCCGAACTCTGTAATAAGTTTAATACCTCAATCAAAAATCTTAAATTAAAAGACTAAAATTAAAACTTCGGTTTATCTATTCAAATTAATTGTATTTAACCTTTCTTCGATAAAGTCTGTTCTATCGATGTTTATTATTTATTAAGATTGTTTATTTATTTATAATATTCTTGAAAAGAGAAAAATTCTTCTTTTGAGTAAATGATAATGAATTTTTGTAATATTTATGATGTTAGTATATTTTAACATCATTATTAAGAAGATATTCTTTATTCAAGATAACTTAGATTACTTGAAAGAAGAAAAATAAACTGATTAATCGCTTTTAATTAATAATTCATTATCGAAATCGATAAGTACTTGTTATTATTTCGAAATTTGTATGCGTGATTTCGATAGTCAGCTGTTTTAACCGATATTCCAGGGAATACCAAGCATTCTTAAATGCTTTAAAGAAGTCTTTGTGACATTGAGACGCTAACAGATGTCTCTGAGACGTTTCTTAGATGCGGTGTTTCCAAGTAGCCTCGTTATCGTTTCTGCCTATTTTATATTAATAATTTTATTGATCCCGTTCTCTCTACAAATTGCGTCTCAAGCTCTTCAAGTGATAATTCATGATTACTGACTACTATCCCCTGCTAAGTGTTCTAATTTTCACCAGCTGAGTCTGTTTTCCAACACGTGTAAGAAAGACTCATCAGACCTAACGACCGTCTAATTTGTTGAAAAGTAAGTAACATTTAAATCGTCAGGCAAATGTCCAGCGAGAAGACATGTTTGTTTTACAATTCCCGTTAATCTCGACGCTATTTAGGTTCGATGCATCACTCGCCAGTCTCGTCGCGTGTTGATCAATATTACAACTTTGACAAAGAGTAATGGGCTTTGGTGCCGACCGGCCACCCACTGGTCTGGACGAGAGCCGGGTATTGTATCTTCGACAGCGTTTTCAAAAGAGAAGGTCCGATCAGTACCCGAAGGCGGACGGATGTAGGTGTGAAAAGGCATACGCCAACAACTATCTGAAGCTGAAAAGACCGTCACGTTTCGAGAGGTCCGTTCATCTTCTGCGGCAGGACTCAAGTTCGACTCTTCAGTCGTGTCATTTTTGGCAGTTAGACAGTTATTCGAGCGCTTAAGTCTGCCTTCTGGCGCCGGTCGTCTCTCTTTTCTTCCGAATTAAGATCTTATATCAAAGTCGATCATTCTCTCTATCTTCGATGATAGATGCTGACATTCTGATAATTTTTACGTAAATCTACGCCTGACACCCCGATGTGCTCTGCGTTAAGATAGTTCACCGTTGACACACCACGGCTACCGAGAAAGTGGAAAGACTGTAGATTTGTAATTTTGTCAGCGAGCCAGAGTGTCGACCATTCAGTAAGTTCCTTGGCATCGTTTCCTTCTGTTCGTCACATACTCATTATTCGTTCTCTCGCATGTCCGTGATGTGGTTACGTATTCCGTGTGTCCTGTGCGTGTTCGTGAGAAATAAATTCATTACTCGTCGTAAATCGAGGCGGCTTATTCCGGCCGCATATTTGCGGCCGTGTTTTCGTCGTTTGCGAGCATTACGTCCGCGCGCTTTATCTTGAAGTTCGTCCGCAGGGGAAACGCAAAATCGCACTTCTCTGCGCGAATCCGCGCGCGTTATCCGTATCTCCGTGCGATAGATTCGCGTACGGTACCACTCGTCGCGAAATATCTGATCATCTCGATCGACGAAGAGAAGTGGCGCGATTCTACGTTAGTTAGAAGACGTCGTGTATGTGATTTTTTCCACGTCTTTTCACGATAAAAATCGCCAATCCGCAAGCACGCCTCTGTCGTCGCCGGTGTGTACGAGTTGATTTTTTCTTCGAGCGCGAATAAATTTGTATAGGTAATTAAAAGCGACGGAGAGATACGTCGGTTTATCGGAATGCTTCGGCCGTTATTGGAATTGTTAGATTTCGTTCGTCGCGCGTTCCACGTATCTACTACCTACGATATGCTAACAAGAATATTTTCTTTTTTCTTCCTCAGGTAGTCATTTAGGTAGTTCTGCCGGTTTACATGATATCTGTTATGAATTACGACAGGTCGATCGTGATACAGACTAGGAAACTGGTTTCCTCGCGTGAATTCATCGTGTGCAAATTCGCGGTTTATAAAGCGATTCCGCGCAACAAAGTTATTCAATGGATGCCCGGATAGAAGACAGGTGTGTGTCGCAGATATCGGGAATATCCACTCGAATTATTCATTTCCACTTTAGTCGGGATTCCGATTTATAAGCGCATCGCTCGTATACTCAGGAGTCGCGTATGCGTCGCATTGGAATTGCAAATTCGCGCCAAATGCAAGACTTCGGGAAATCTGAAAATCAGAATCCAATTATATCCAACGAAACAATCGAAATCTTCAACGTTGCGTTGAATAAAATTTAATAAATCATCACATACACACGTATTATAATTTAATGAAACATCGTTATAAATGTACGTTTTCATGAAATTTATCATGAAATTCATCATGAAATTCTTTTTCCATCTTTTCTTTGAACTTTTGTAAAATTTCCGCTGAAGTTCCGGTTTCGGTCGAAATTGAAAAGAAACCTAATATTCGTTTTTGGTTTCGGCCGAAACTGAAAAAGGTGATTTCGGCCAGGCACTAATTGATAGTGTACTTCCATAGCATCGACGTAACTTGTGACAGATTACACGTCGGTTATTTGGCGATAAGCATTTTTACGGAGCACAGATAAAAGTGGACGACACACTCCATGTGCTTAACTACTTATCGTGCTGCTCCCCTGTCTTCGTTAGTACGGTTTACGTCAGCCAGGTATATTATTGCGTGGCATAAGTTTTTTTCCACGACTGTTTATTTGAATTTAAACAGTTCTCAATTTTCTTCCCAGCTTCAGCTTGTACCTGAGATAGCTCAGATAATTCAATCATGTGGGTCATTTTGTCGCCGTGGGCGATACGCGGCGTCGAGAGAAATTATCTCACTGTGTGTGTTGTACATATCCGAAAATACATAGTGATGCAATAACAATTATCTCGAGTACCTTCGCGACATGAAAGTGGGAGAAAAATGGATTTATCAGAAACTGGATCGCGACAACAATGTGGTCGGACACACTTCGAACATCGGCAAATACAAGCATTCTCCGTCTTGATTCGGCCGTTAATCGAAACGTTTTCATTTTTCGCAAATATTCAAAGCTGTAATAATTACTGCTTCGTTCTGCGCATCGTGTGTTTCTAAACAGTGAGAGAGATCCCGGGAATCGACGTACCCGGAGATGCGTCTCGAGAGAGCGAGACGACGGCCGGGACGCGTCGAGGCGCGCCGAAATCTTTTGTAATCACAGGTGAAGTAGGGGAGCCGCGATAATCAGCATTCACGGAAGGAGCGGAGACGAGCCGCTGTGGTAGTGTTTGGAACATCAGTTCCACGCGAATATTCGGCACGTATGCTCACTGAGCGTTATGTTATTGGGAGCGAAGTAACGACGTATATTACACGAGGTATATTACAAATCGCACGCGTTTACGTACCGTCGTGGAAATCGTTACGTAAATCTTTCCGATAACTTCGCTGCCGTAAAAACACCGTTCCTTACTCACCCGAGGATAATCGTTCGCTCAAAGATTATCATCCGAGGTCGTAATGTAATCCGGTGGCGTAATTATCGGAGATCGTTCATCGGGACCGCCGTGACGTCACGTTGCCATCCGTTACGTTACGCGCGTCTTCGCACATGAAGTTAATTAACCGGGCGCTCGGTGTGCTCGCGCCGCCTTATGCCGACTGCGAATTTTTCACGGGCGCAATTATTTTATCTCAGGACTCGCTCGCGCACCCGTGACACCTGCCTAGCTCGCGCGTCACGCATATCTGCGCGCGTTATAATTGGTGGGAGTGAAGGTGCAAGGAGGTGATCGCGTCGCAGGATTTATGCTGTCCTGTTTTTCTCCTTTTGCTTCTTTTTTGGTTTCTTCACGCTTGTAATGATCTCGCGGTTTTACACGAGCGAGCGACTTCAACAAACGGCCTCCGCGCGAGGTTCTCTTTGTTGATTAGCTATTTTTTGTGATTGATCATCGGCGCGGCAAGATTGAGGAGCTTCTTTTGCGCTGAATTGCAATAAATAATCCCGCGAGATAACAGAAATATAGAACAAAGAGGGAATCGTCAGACCGATATACATTGTCTCGTTGAAAATAAACGTTTATGTATTGATGCGTTTTATCTAAAATTGTTTACGTACATGAGAACATACTGATTGGTATAATTTACTGATTACTGCCGACATTGATTAGTATAATTAACAATAAAGCGAATAAGACGTTATCTTTTACCGCGCACATCGTATGATTAATTAGAATATCGATGTGATCAACGATAAAGAGCGCGAAGACGCGAAATCGAGCATGCTTCCCGACCGCGATAATTGGCGGATAAATACATATGTGTTATAATGTGTGTGTGATACTTTCTCTTTTAAATTTAATTTAACATTACGTTGAAGATTTCGGTGATTATTTCAACGATGGATATGAGAAACGAAAAAACGGGGATTAAATATAGCCTTTATAAATATAAAAAATAGACTCTTTGGAAACCTATGATTACGTAAGTTTCCACGCATTATAATTACAGTTTGTACTTCGGTTATATCGACGAATTACAATTGTCCGTGATTAATGCGCGCTTCTGAATTAATCGTCAGCCAGATCCGTTTACGGGAAATATATCGTTCAATTTGACGTCGTCTAACGCGAATAATAATTTGTTATCCCGTCTCTGAATTTTGCCGTTTGTGCAATTACCGCCCGAATTATCTACCTCAGCCGTAATTGTCGCTCTACAAATGCGACATCGCGTCGTTGAACGAGTACAATTACTGTTTTCGCATTGGCGCAAGAAGAATTGTAGTAGGTACGCGCTTCGTGACGTACCGTCGCGCTAGGAAGAAGTCGCTGCGAGCGATTGTTTCTCAGCCGCGTTCGTTGCGTCTTCCTCAAGTCGACCTCCTCGACCTTCTCAACCTGAGTGTATTGCGAAAAAAGCGGAGAGTTTTGCCACGCAACTCGATATTTCGCTTCGTCTGTCTCGATGTGTCTTACTCATCTCTCGATATTTCATTGTTCCTCATCGCGTGTTCGCGGCGACAAACCGAGACCGCACCGAAACATAATGATATCTTTTCCGACAGGTGCAACATGTACACGCTGCCGTTGCTGCTGTTGCTGAGCCAGGTCTGTTGGGGATTCACCGGACACGACGTCCCTCATCCCAACAGGACGGCTCTGTTCGAGCTGTCTGTGATCCATTGGAATGATTTTCACGCGAGGTGAGCGATTTAATTCGCGAGAGTGATAAGCGTGCGATACATTCGGCGGGTGTGCGCGATAAGTGATTCGATCGGTAATTGAAATCGCGAAATGCGCTAAGGCTAAGAGCGCGATTATATAATAATCGTGGCCTTGGCTTCCTTCCGTTACCCTTTGTGCGACTTTTGCGCGGCTTTCGCGATCGCGACTGCTCGTTAGAGCGTCGAAGCGTGACTCTTGAGAGCAGAAAAACTGTGTCGAAGGTTCGAGCAGACAAGCCCGACCTCTGGACCCTGTCACAAGGAGAAGGAGGATTGCGTGGGAGGAATCGCCAGAGTCTACACGGCGGCCACTCGGCTCATGAGCGAACGGCCGAATCCGATTTTCCTGAACGCCGGCGATAACTTTCAGGGTACCCTCTGGTACAATCTTCACCGTTGGAACGTCACCGCTTTGTTTCTGAATAAGCTGCCGCAGGACGCCATGGTAATTAAGTATAGGCCGATCTCGCGGTCAAGATAAAGCGAAAGGAAACTTTAGTTCTCAGAAGCGAATATTAGATTTTATTGTTGTTTCCAAGCGGAAAAATCAGTCCGTCACTGCCAAAGTCTCGAATAATTACAAGTCAGTTTTCGATGATTATGAAAATCAAATCGAACTTTTTCACCTATCCAATATCAGATAGGGAAGTACAAAGTGAACTATCCGTGAATTTACCTATGACCCTACATTATTCAGCCTGAATTAGGTTCTCCCACACTATATTTCCCGGAAGTTCAACTAGCTTCGCAGCTGGAAGTTCCACTGGATTCTAAGTTTTCCAACGAGGAAGATTGTTCGTTGTCAACGTATCGGGAATACGAAAGCTCGATGTGTATATTTCTCTTTAAAACGGCACTTTTAATGCAGCACGATGGTTGCAAGCACGAAGTAATATAATTCGCTGGCTTTAATTTAATAGATTTGAAAAAAATGGAAAATAACATGCGACGTTTGCTCGATTTCGAGTTGCGTTTACCTGTAAAGTAGCAAGTCACTTCGTCGTGTGCTTTTTCGTCGTTGTTCATAGGCACTTGTCCTTCAGTTATTTTGTCGTCTATTAAACTTTTCTTCGTTTTTTCTGTATTACCATTTTTACTTTACAATATATCTTTACTTTTCAGATTAAAGCTTCTCTGATGCCGTTCCTTCAAATCAGTCTTTCACTTATGATCGCCCGTGTAACGAATAAATGTTTTACAAGGAAGTGTCGTATGACGAAGTGTCTATGATCCGTGTCTGAATGTCATGTGATTGTTTGTTTGTTTGTCTTATACTTACGTATATTGTTATCCTGAAGGTCCCGCGATCCTTAGGCCGTGCCAAGCGCGTCGCGCTTGAGAACAGCATTATGTGATTAATTTTCTCACTTATTTAACATTCACTATATCATAATAATAATATTGCATATATTTTGCAATATTTATTTATAATATTTATAATAATATTGCGTATTATTTTGCAATATTTATTTATTTAATAGCGTTTGTCATATTGTCTGCACATCGTATAAGTACTGACTATTGGAATATCTAAAACCATTTACATTACGACTACCATTAAAATACGATCAAATGTAAATAATTTTACGGGCAAAGGAGAAAGGGAGAGAATTATTAATATGATATGACAATATACATGATATTTTCACAGACGATCGGAAATCACGAGTTCGACCAGAAGATCGACGGTATCGTCCCTTTTCTTCAGCATGTCAAAGCGCCGGTTGTAGTAACGAATATTGACAACAGCAAAGAGCCGAGAATGAATGTTCGTAATTTCCGTCTAGATCCATTTACCGAAATAAATTGATTTCCTACTTTGATTTTCTCTTTCCTTTTTTTAGAATTTATATCAGAACAGCACGATCATCACACGTAACGGTAAGAAGATCGGCATTATTGGTGTTATCCTGTCGACTACGAATGTGAGTAACCGATCAATCGTGTTCTTTAACAATCTAGCAAGTAACGTGGTATATTCGATTCAATTTATCGGATCGTGTCTCTCCGATCGCTTTAATTCACCCGTTTCTATCTCGCAAGACACGACATTGGGAGGACAATCTTATCGATGTGCATTTGATTCTCCCAGATGACAATTTTATTGATGTGCATTTGATTCTCCCAGATGATCTCCAGCACGGAGAATCTTAAGTTCTTGGACGAGGTGGAGACGGTGAACGCCGAAGCCCAGCGGTTGAAAGAGAAAGGCGTGGACATTATCATAGTATTAAGCCATTGTGGACTGGACGTGGACAGAGTCACGGCTGCGAAGTGTCCCCTGATCGATGTGATTGTCGGCGGTCATTCGCACACGTTTCTCTATACAGGTTCTGCGAAAGCAGTCTTTCATACCGATTAAACAGCGAAAATTGCGCTTACACGCGAACAGGTGTAACCACAAGATCGATTTATTCGAGATTCATCCAAGTCGTGGGTATCAAAAATTCGTACGCGTCCGAAATCCGAAAAGTTGTCGTCGCTATTTGTTCGCGTCCGCAAGTGGTGGATCTACATAATCGATGTAATAATTTTCAATGTTGTTGACTGTTATATCGTAGGCACGCCGCCTTTTATTGACAAGCCGGTGGACGAGTATCCCGTGGTCGTGACGCAGAAAGAGACGCGGAGAACGGTCCTTATTGTTCAAGCAGCTGCTTTTACAAAGTATGCCATTCCGAGATATAAAATTGTGTCAATTGTGTCCCTTATCATGAAGGTCAATTCCGCTATCTAGTGTCACGAGGGCGCCTTCTCGTGAGTGTTTCGTTCTTAATGTAGCTTCTCGACTATCGAGAAATTTTCCCTCGAATCGTCCGTAGAGCCCGTTCTTGCGATTCTACCAAATACACGCGAGAACGCGATGATTTACGCGCTCCTATTTTACCTGCTTCCGACCGAAGGTACTTGGGTAACCTGACGGTGTGGTTCGACGAACAAGGCGAGGTGGTCGACTGGGACGGCAATCCGATCCTCTTGGACCACTCCATCGAGGAAGGTGAGCTTTCAGTGTGTCGAGAATCCGACTTGTGTCGCCATTACCGAGGCAATTAATGTAACACACCTGACACGACACTCGAACTAATTACACACGCAGACGAGGGAATCCTGAAAGAACTCGAGCCGTGGAAGAAGGAAGTGGACGCGAAGGCTATGAAAAAAATCGGCAGCTCTAGGGTTGCGCTCGACTATCGATGTCGCAACAAGGAGTGCAATCTGGGAAATTTCATAACAGACGCGATGGTGGATGCGGTACGTACGATGTTGCTTCGCGATGCCTCGTACTCTTCCGAGTTCGAACCGAGAGATTCGACTGAGAGGCTTAAAGATGGCATTGATTTCACACAGTACGTCGACGCTATCGACGACAAGTCGTACTGGACGTACGCGGCGGTGGCGTGTACGAATGCCGGGGGAATTCGCACCAGCCTCGAGCCGACGGACATCACCTACGGCGATCTGATAACGGTCCATCCTTTCGAGAACACGTGGGATACTCTCGAGCTGAACGGAGAGACCATCAAGAAGGTCAGTTGAAACTCCTCGTCGCGAACGAGAACTAACGTTGCTCTTTCTGAGGAAATCGATAGATTTGGATATAATTGATTACGACGTGACGCGAACCGGATTTTCTCGCTCTGATTCGCGGTGAACTGTGAAATCATACCAGCGTCCTAGATAGACTCGGTGAAGTAACGCCTTGTAGAACGTCAAGCGTGGACGCAAGCGTGCATTAACAGTAGCCTCTCTTCGGGGACGGAGACTGAAGAGGAGAGCATCGAGCGGCGGAATGAAATTTTATTTTCCTTCGTAGATCCTGGTAATGAGAAACACTCTGGTCTGGTCCGGGCTGAAAATCACTTACAGAATAGACGGTGGAGAGAGAATCGTGGAAAACGTTAAAATCAGGTGAGAACTTTCATCTTTATCGCAGCTTTGTAGTGAAAATTCGATCAATTTAAGCGATTATCACCTGCAAATTTGGCCTCTAACATCTTTTGTAAGTTATATGATTGCAATCTGAGGAGCCTTCTATTATACAATTGATTTTATCTTTGGAATTTCTCCTCCTCCACTTTACCTCTCTCGTTCTCTCGGTTCGTTTCGAGAGATAAAATTGCAGTACAAATTAAATCCGTTACGGGTCATCGGATCTCACGGCAATTTTGCCGAGAGTTACTGACGATTTTAATTTGTTCGAACGTATCGACAGGTGCCAGGCCTGCGAATATCCGGTATTTGAGGATGTGGTGGATGATCAATGGTACCGAATGGTAATACCATCTTACCTGGTCACCGGCGGAGACAGTTATATCCTTTTCAAGAATAGCAGTCGCAATCACCAAATCGGATCGCTCGATATGGATTATCTCGAGAAATACGTGACAAAGATGAGCCCCATAATTGCGGGGATTGACCGACGGATGATCATTCTGAAATCCAAATCCTAGAAATCGTTAGATCGTTAGATCGTTAAATCTGAATTGTTAGATTAACTTTTGAATACTGCATGAAACCGCATTTAGAGAGAAAGATTAGAGAGAAAGATTATATAATTTAGTATTTGAAAGAAATGTTTATCGATCTAGTAACTTATATATATATCAAATATATTCAATATATATATACATATTCAATATAATTATATATATATTAATATATTTATAAATAGATATATAAAAGTACAAAGTATATTTTAACATATAATATGAAATATTTATATAATATTTATGATAAACACATACTTTGATAATATGTTTACATTTATATAGAATATTAAACAAGCAGGTACGCCTTTCTTGAAAGCACACATGTGATATTCAATTTCGCAATTTCAGAATCGCGTTTCACACATCGCACGTGATATTGTATTTAATCGGCTGTCACTCCAAGTATGGCATTATACTGGAAACATACTTGCCGTCATGGCAGTGAAGTACTTAATTTTTATACAATACCGAATAAAACTTTCTCTCGTTACGATTTCCTCCGGCGTCCTTGACCATTTCTCAAACAATTGTGGAGAAGCTCGGTGAATAAAGAGCCAGACGGGCATCAACGAAAAAGGCACGTTGACAAAGAACTTCTCTCAGAGTCTTGCATGATAGCCATAAGAAAGCAGGAAACGTCGGCCGCTTATCTCGCAGTATCTCGAGATCGGGGCAGATGAAGCATTTAAATAATGTATCGAACAGGTGAAATAGCAGCTGTTCGTCCGTGTTCCTGCCCTCGACCAGAACGCGCGAACCGCTTTGTAGCGCCGGCATGGAACGCTCGTTTTTAGTGGCGAAGGCAAGAAAAAAGAGCCGCTGCGCTCAGATTAAAATAAACTCATTATGTACATTTATAATATAACGCGCATCACATATCGTATATTTATAATATCTCCCGATACATATTAGTTTTTACAACATACGTGTTATACGTACATAACACACACATTTTACCCACCTTTTTATACTGTATTTTATAGTAATATGGCGATATAACGTTGTATAGAGTTAGATAATGCATTATATTAGAGTTTCTTATATATTTGCCGATTGTTAAAATTAACCGGCTAGAATACTTTCCGTAACGACGTAAAAGCAGCACGTTCTCTTGCGACGAGGCTGTTCGGGGCCCGGCGACACCTTCCCAACAGGTGCAAGCTCGAATTCGCCGGCGTGCGTTAAGCACTAAGCGACGCGGGCCGAGCGCAACGCTTTCTGGCAATTAACGTTCATTACGCCGCGCGTAGCATTGATAATGTTCGCGTCGATCTGCATATCTCCGGCGATTTACATAACACGGGACGTGCGCGAGCCGGAGCGTAAATACGCGCTATCGATGGCGTCGGAAGGTGAGAAGAGCTATGATATAGCCGGAGATGCTGAGGCTTCCGCCGAATGATAACAACGCTTCGGTCGCAATTTACAATGCAAAATTATGCGGTATCAACGGTGTTACTTTGACGTTCGAACGTGAAATTTTGGGAACGCTCGGACGAGCGAAATGAATGAAATGAATTTGACAGTTCCGATCGCGTTATCGAGAGGAGCAGAAGAAGAAGAAGAAAAAGAAACGCGGAGGGCGATAATATCCGACGAAGCCGCTTCAAATCGCTCCGACTTGTTCTTCTCGGATGTACTTTCTCGCGCAATCCGCGATTAAAGCGAAATACACGCGGTGAAGAAGCCGAAGTACAAGAAGCGCGAAGAGAAACAAGTGCAAGAAGGCGAAGAGAAACAAAACACGGGGAAAAACGCAGCTGAAACTAATAGACCTATTTTCTCATCTCTCGCGCGACAGGTTACTCGAGAAGCGTTTCTCGTCTCAGGACGAGAGAGATACACCAGCAGGTTCATCAGTCAATTATGAGGACCCGTTTCTGCCGACGATTGCGACGTTCGTGCACGTTTCGCCTGACGTATCGCGAACGTCGCGGTCGTACAGCGTCGCGACGACAATGAGACCGCGGCGAGGAAGCGGTGGCACGACGTCTGGAAAGGAAGTCCGCGAGGAGAGGGACCCGGAGGCAGCTGCTCCGGAGCCAAGTCGTACGACCACAGCCGAAAGAGAGAGAGAGAGAGTGTGTGTGTGTGTGTGAGAGCGCGTGGACTAAGATGAACGAAGCGCGTGAATGAAGGTTAGACTGAGAGGAGACACGTCGAGATCGCAGTGCCGTTTCGTAGTGGCGACTAGAGAGGAGACGAGCATTAATTGGTAGACAAGATGGATTTATTGATTCCGCCGAGTGATTAATTTCACTCTGTGACACGTGGTTTCTACCACGTACGATTAGCATATAATTACGACAAATGGATTTGACATGATTTCTTCCCTGATCACGTTATCGTGAAGGAAAGAGAACTGTGCGCGGATCAAAACATGGGACTGCCAATCGCCTATTGTCATTTTCCTTGAGCTATCGAGATGACGGGAGCCAAAACGGTGTTCGGGAAACCTAGAAACGTGAAAATGAGCGCAACGACGCCTCGTTATTTGTTTATGCAAATAAAAATTTATAAATATGCTTTGTGTTAAAACCGGCCTTTACTCAAATATTTATGTTAAATTGTTAACACAGCCATGTGTTAATTTAACAAATTGTGTTTACGTTATCTCAATATTTTGTGTTATGCTGATAATTAATACACGTAAGTGTTAAAATAACACATTTTATGCTTCGGTGTCAACAAATTATGGATGTTAATTTTGTGCCAATTTTCGACGTGGTATTTCTGTTACTTTTCAACATATTCATCCCGCGCTAAATGAGCGGAAAAATTCGAGCGTGCCGATTGGGACGTGCGAAACGTGTTGAATCTAACGCGGGATTTTTTACCATGCAATTGCGGTCTGCCGGAGAGACGGCGGGAAATCGCGATTATTCGCGACGTAATCGTAATAGCGAACAACAGAGCATCGAGCGTTCGTCAATTTTCTCCGATCGCAACGTTAAAGGGGTCAGACGGACTAGCTGGAAATTCGGGAACGATTCTTAATTGGGCGGAGGGCGCTCTCTCTCTCGTCGTCCCTGGGCGCTCGGTTATCGTGCAAGTGCGACGGAACAGGGACGCGTACCGTGGAGGAAGGAGGATAGAACGGCGGCAGCGGGCCGAGAGACAGCGCGCGAGTGCGCGCCGGCGACTGTCATGGAGGCAGGTCTGCCTTCTGGCAGGAGGGTCTCGACCTGCACACTCGGCGTTACCTGCCAGCGCGCGCACGGCGGCAGTGTCTCCGAAGTCGCGCACTCCGATGGATCGCGGAGTCCCGAGCTGCTGCTGAGGGGCCGAGGCGGCGAGGTCGCTTCCAACTCCCGGCGAAGAGTATCGAGCTACGCACGCACGGCGAGAGACGCTCGGATCGCCGCGAAGTGCGGCGCGTGTGAGAGTCTCGCGCGATTCGCGCACGCATTCGCGGCCAGGCGTATATTCGAGAAGAATCGCTACGACGACTACGAGAGTGCGGGAGGCGGAGAGGCGCGAGCGGCCCCCAGGAGAGCGACACGTCGCGATACGATCGATCCGTCAAAAGCCGTGCAGCAGCAGCAGCGGCAAGCCGAACGGCGAACTCGCGAGATCGCCTGCCCGTTGGCGATGGAAGAAATGTGCTCGTGACGTCACGGAATTCCTCGCTGCTGCTGGAAGCGAGCACTTGTCATCGTGCCTTGTTCACGCGTAGCTGGTATATTCGAGGCTCTCTCGGTGCGCTCTCCCGATAGGAGATAAGAGAGGAGAGAGAGAGAGAGGGAAAGATAGAGAGGCAGGGAAATCTTTACACATTGGAGAAACGGAGGAAGAAGAAGGGAAGTGGAAGGAGGAGAAGTAAAGAAGATAGACGCGCAGATAGACAGATAGATAGATAGGGACACGGGGAAAGAGGAGAGTCGCGAAGGAGAGAAGGAGCCGAACGTATATATCGTGGGCGTTGAGTGATTGTTGTCGGTGCTAGTTTCCATCGGGAGTCATGAGGGACACGAGCGATATGATGGAGGACGCCCTGTCGGAGGTACGTAAGAGCGGACAAATTGGAGATACGAATTCGCGTTCTCGCAGCCTCTCCAGGTCTGACGAGGTTGCTCGCGCGTGTTGCGCCTTCGTCTTTCGAACCCCCCGGGTCGAATTGCGTGCCGCAGTATTCAAATCGCATTTGCGTGCGGACGGATAAGGCGATGTTGCTGACGGATGACGCGCGGATACGAATTTACCCGACCTGCGTTTCTCTGGCCACCACGCGAAACGAACTACCTCGTGTGAGAGAAAACGTTCCGAGCTGTCCGGTAGTTAACGATAATCGGTCGCGATAATGCGTCGAACTGTAGAAACGCAATGATATAAAGCGAAACCGCGAATATAGAGCAGCGATGGTCGGACGAGAAATTCAACGAGCAAGCGGAAATTCGCACCATCATCGCTCTATGCTTAGCGAAACGCGCCCGAGATACAATTCGGCGATATTGGCACGGATTCTGTGTTTACATTGGCGTGATCGACCAACACAATGAACGCACGCTTATGCCACTTCTACGGTACCAGCCGCGTACCGTGTGTGCCAACCGCGTAACGCGGTGTGTGTATGTCGTTTCTGTTATTGAAAGTCGAATAGTCGTACTAACTCTCGTAGCATCCGTAATACGTATTCCCTATCCCTCGCGGTCGATATGCTGCTCGGACAAAATTCCAATCCGTCGTCCGTCGTTGATAGTCATCTGTATTTATACGATTGCACCGCGGAATGCATCGCGAGAGGCTGCAGCGACGCGTCCCGCTGCCAAAGCGCACCTGCTCGAAATCGATTGCGAAGGGGCGAATCGGTTTTTTGCACGTTCCCCGAACGCGGCACGCTCGTTCGTTTTCGGCCTGCGATTGCGAAACCAATGTTGTATTATTTTTTCTTCTTTTCCATCCGTTTTGTTTTCCTTCTTTCTTTAGTTGCAATATAGTGTGCCAGAGAGAGAGAGAGAGAGCCGGATGTAGCAAACGTGTCGTCCTTCCCTGTCATGTCCACCGTCGCTTTTCCGCTCGCTTTTCCCGTCCTCCATAACCATTACAGCGAAATACTCGAGTTCTATGGAGACGGCGACAAACGCGTAAACTCCCCATTCGGTGATTTAAATCTCCATTTAAAGCGAAAAACTCTCTCTTTCTCTCTCTCTCAAGTAATTCTGATTCTATCCACACGATATACGCGATTTATGCGACGCAGGGAGCAAGAGAGGATTACACAGGCAACCTTTTCTTCCTCACTTTTCCCACCCGCCTCTCTCTCTCTCTCTCTCTCTCTCTGTGTATGTGTCTCTTTCTCTCTCGGTCGTTTCGTCCCGCGCAGTCGGTGTATTATTAACGGTAAAAGGGGCGCATCGATTTACGCGCGTCCGTTATTACCCGCTTTTCACGCGAGACTATGGAATTACATCGATCCCTTAGAATCGCTATCTTCATCACGTTGTTTGCCTTGCCCTCGTTCATTGTCCGTCGTTCCCGTGGTCGATACGCATCCGATAACTGTAATTTCCTGTTTACGAAACTTGGGTTCTAAGCCGGACGCAGTCTGGCAGCGCCAGCGTCTACTTACTTATTTATCTCTCGACTTCGATCTTTTCGCGGCGCGTTATCGCCGCGAGTTTTCTCGCTTAAAATTCTATCGGGATTCGCCGGGCGTTCGGGACGGAGAAGGCGGGAGGAGAGAATTAGAATTTCAAATCGAGTCCCATCGCGCGCGCGGAGGGATGCGCCCTTTCTGCAGTTAACTGCGTTCCCGACGTCCCGCGCTTCGTCTCGGAACTTCGGAGGGAGAGGAATCCTTTTCGAAGGGTGCGATCTCGCATAAAATGTGTGGGAGTCGCTGTATGACGCGCCCGGCGCCCCCGTCGCCGTTTCTTCGCGGTCTCGACATTTGTATTTATTGCACGAGCCGCTCGAATTCGCCCCGTCGCACCTCTGGAACTTTGATCATCCCCGAGGTTCGCCGAACATTTCGATTTTGCCCCGCTCGCGGCGTCCCCGCCCTCCCCCACCCGTCTTGAAAACTCGTTCGAATCTAATCTGCGGCTGACTCGGCCCGTCCCCGAGAAGCACACGGACGGAAACGCAAATAAGACTTCGTCGCGAATTCTATCACGAAGTTGGTATTGCGTTATTGATGATTAATGGGATATGCAAGGCGTTCTCGCGAAACTCTGCCCGAATCGTCATCGATCGTCGGCAGGCAGAGAAAGAGAGAAAAAGAGAGAGGGAGCTGTCAGGACAACGATCTCTTTACGCCAACTCTCTTAAGATAAATCAGTGAAAATGTCACTAATTGAGTGAGACAATATTCTACTGATAATCAATGAATATTCGTTAATTTTTAATTGAAACTCTTCCACTCGCATCTTTTCTCGAATATTTCATTGATTTTGATCAATGAAAGATTCACTGCGAGTCACTGTCCCGTAACAGAAATATGTAGAGGAGAAGATGATGTAATGACCTTCCACTCACATTTTGTACAATAACATTGTTAATAAAAGATTTTAAATTGAAAATTTAACAATTACATTTGACAAAGCGTTTGTTTTTCAATTATCGGCTATTGTGTATTGGCATATTATCACCATTGAATAACGACGTGATACTAAACAAATAATTCCATACGTAATAACATTCCATAGGACATAAACAAATAATTCCATAAAATTCCTTAAGACATAAACAAATGATTCCATAAGTAATCGCTAGAATCGTCACTTAATAGCGGGATTATTAAGAGGGGTTATAATACCTACAAGGTCCACGATATCACTTTCTCCTCTAAATATGTATATCGTATTGCATTCAATTATATGCCGTTCTTTGCGTAATTCGTATGGCAACAGACACAAGAGCTGGAAATTTCGGGTCCCATTAAGATAAATGTATTCATCAAATACGATATAAACTGAATCAATTAAACACTAAGAATTAATTAAGAACAATTCGGGCAAAATCAGTAACAACACTTCAAGAGTGGGATCAAGATAATATAAAAAAGAAGCAATAAATAATATCTTTTTTCACTATTTCTGCAATTGGATTTCTTCGATGGGAGCGATTGCTGCTTTCAACAGACTTTTACAGCGAAATTTCACTCATTTGCGTTACTATACTTATAATTATGATCACTAATGACCACTGACTGCTTCTCAGTGATAACGCACTGATTACACTCCAGAGAGGAAATCTGCATTTATTAGCGACGACGGGAACGTGATTCGCGTTCGAGGAATGTCTCTCCGTGTTAGGTTCCACGGCACAATTCTGTCTCAGCGTAGATATCACGGCGATTCTCATTCTCTCTTGGAATATTCTCTCGTAATACTCGGGGGCTAAGCTCGTTGAGCTCGAATGCGGATCGCGTCCTCCCCGAAATAAGCGTTTCATTCACCGCCTCCCCGTTAAATCTCACGACGCACCGCGCGCGCGCATCGCCGAAATTTCGGCCGGTGCTCTCAGGACCAGAACCGTGTCCGGGCGGCGACACTCTTTGAATTCGGAATACCGGCCGCATTATCCGCGGCACCTCGTCTGCTCTCTAATGTCCGCCTGGTAACCAGCGCGAGAAGACTGCACTGAAGTGGTCAAACGTGTCCCTTCGGTTACGACGTTACGTGCCGTACTTGTGCGCCTTCGCCTTGCATTCTCTCCCTTCGTTCTATTTATATCCCCGAGTCTCTCGATAAAAACGCCGCTGCTGCCGAGAGAAAGAGCAAAAGAGAGAGAGAGAGAGAGAGAGAGAGAGAGAGAGTATTTGTGATCCTGGTCCTGCGAGATGCGAGGACGAAGTTCCTAAACGGGGTCCCGAAATCCATCGAGCGGGTCGCGTCCGGCGGGAAAATTTATCGACCTGTCGATTTATCGAGATTTATCGCGGCCGTTCGCGATCTTCCAGCGGATGACTTCCATCTACTCGAGCGACACCGGCAATTTAATTCGTGTCGTCTCGCATCCGCTCCTCTCGTAAACGTTTAATTTTCACGCGACCTCGCCGGTTTATCGCCTGCCGATATCTCCGAGGCACACTTCAATATATTTCGAAACCTTGTTACGGATTTTTGCGGGCGCCGCGGATGGCTCGAACTTCGTGTCGCCCTGATCTCCGGTCTTATCTGCGGCGGCATGTTAATCGCTTATCGTAAGCTCGTTTGCGGTCGCGCTCTCTTATTTTTCGTCTTCCTGCACGGCCCATGATTATATTATTTTCGACGCAATTTAATTAGGCGACCCGCGCGCGCGCGCGTGAGACGCTCTACTTCGGTGGACCATCGTCGAAAGAAAAAAATAGCAGCAAATTGCTGTTTACTTCGCCGTTCGACTCTCTCTCTTTCTCTCTCTCTCTCTCGAAAGAGAGAGAGAGAGAAATGGAGCTCAGACGAGCATAACAGAAGTCACGTCTATAGAGAAAGGCGGCGCTGAAGGACGAATCCGGCATTTGTATTTATCAATTTGCCTAATTGAACCGCGGCGACTCCGCTTATTATTTCGCCCGAATGAAAAATGCGCCCACACCCGGCACAGCCGAGATCGATCATCCGACTCGCGATCCGCAACGGTTCGCCATGAACTACCTTCTCATTATTTTTCGGCAGTGATTAAAGGTGAAAAAATGCGCTAATTATAGCTATTAATTAGGCGTAAAAGATCGCGAGCGACCAAAGTCTATCGAGAAAAGTCGCGATGCATGCAATACAAATATTGGAAGCTTTCAGGCGTCGAAGCAGTAAGACAATTGACTAAAAACACGTGTCCAGAGATGCACGATAATTCAGATTTGAAGATAGATAAATAGATAGATGAAGAAATAGATATTTGCTAATACACAATAAAAATTTTACATTAAAGACGGTCCAATTTTTGTATTATTTTAACATTAGAATCGCAGCTGGGTTATTTTTGACCAACTTGTAGATTCTTTTTTCCTATTTCTTTGGATATTCATTACTGGGGAACCTTCTTTATCATAAAACAATGAAACAATATTATAAAATTCAAAATAGTCCACGGATAATTACAAGGAAAGAAACGAGTCCAAAGTGACCCATTCACGGTTGTAGAAAGGAAAAATTGCCGCGGTTCTAGTGCTAACAAGATGAATATGTTAATTTAACATATATTTGTATACTTTTAACATATCCCCCTATTTGCACAAAATTCTTTACTGTACAGAAGCATAATAAACAATCAGGAGAGAAAAGAATTGAAAATATGTGAATGTGAAAATATATGAATGTATTTAAAAGAAAGGAGAAAAGAGCGATAGAGAAAATAATCATGAATAACAATATTAAAATATAGTAAAACGAGAGAGACGGAGAAAGAGAAAGAGAATTCTTTGATGCGGCGATTGATTAAATATCGGTATCGCGGTTCTCCGGGGATTTTAGCACTCGAGTTTCGCGACTGTGCGACGCTCCTCGGAATGTTACTCGCGGCGTTGCACCGGTAACGTATCGCCGTGCTCGTGGATTCTACGGTTTGCCGGAGATAAACGGGCGTGTCTGTGACCCGTTAACTAAACACTCGCGTTTTACACGATCGATGGCCCGAATATCGCGCCCGTCACGAAGGGACATCCGTCGTGCTTTCTCGTTTGCACGTATCAATTGCAACCTAATTTAAGCCCGCTCTCTCTCTCTCTCTCTCTTTCGTTTCTACCCGTGGGACATGTATATGTCAATGCACGTTCGGTCGAAAGTATACATTTTCTTCGGATCTTCGGGCAGAGCGATTTGTATATATCGTACCGTGCGCGAACGTTCGGAATCAATAGCCGGCAACATGCATCACGGTCTGCACCTTACACTCTCGGAACGGTCCATTCACCGAAGCGCACGGGAGCACTCGGACAACCGAAAACACCGCCGAGATCTATTTTCGCCTCTTCGCTTCTTCTCGATTAGACGAGATATTTCAATCGACTGGTCGGCCGGCCGGTTGCCATTACCGCGGAGTAACATCGAGTCGGAAGACCGTATCCGAATTTGCATGCGTTTATTACGCGCGCATCGGCTTTAATCGGCGGGATTAAACGACGAGGCAGGAGAGAGAGAGAGAGAGAGAGAGAGAAAGAAGGAATCGGCGAAAAGGTCCTTATCAGATTCGAAGTTAAGCTCGCCACATTTCGGCGGTCGCATTACGGATTCGGCGGCGCCGCGATTATCTTCTCGCCGATCGGGAGAAAGCGTACCCTTAACGGCGGAAATTTACAATAACCACTCGTTTGCATATATCGATTACATCGATCCCGCTCGGAGATGAGGCTCGGCGTCAGCCGTGCGCGCGTTTGCTCGCTCGAACGCGTCGAGAGCTCGTTTCGTTTCAATGTATTTCCATATCGATGCAATTAGCGGCGAGAGCAGCGGCGAGTGCATCGATAACGGCGTATCATAATTCCGCGCCGTCGGGGCTATGATTTGACGCGATGACGGTAATTAGCGTGCGACGTGCGAGAGTCCCGATCGGGAACGATCTTTGCGCGTCTGCTCGGTGCTTTTCTCGGCCGGTCGTTGCCGATCGTAATCGCCATCGGGGTGACCGCGCGCCGATGTCCTCCGAAGCCGTGTCGATGCATATTAATTTCCATTAACTCGGAAATTTATGCGTTACGTTGTTGCGAGCGCGAGCTGCCGATTTATTCTGCCATTTCGCTTGATCTGCGCCCGTGTATCCCGTAATTGAGTTAATTTATAAGTAATCACTATATCATGTGTGTGTGTGTGTGTATGTGTGTGTCGTATACTTTATCGTACTCGAAAGTAATGTACAAAGAGGCAAAATCATCCTTTGCTTCCATCATTATCCGCGATACATCGCGAAACGGCGCGCGAACTCCAAACGTTGGTTGACATGTGAATTTCTCGAATCAGTAATTCTAAAATTTGCTTTATCACACTCGACTCCATCGTGGCTCTATGCATTCCTATCATAGGAATCAGGGTGACGAAAGTCCCGTTCATCGCCGTTACGTCGTCGCGGAAGTCGTCGGGAACGATGTCTTCTCGTAAGCGATCATCGTCGTCGTCGTCGATGATCATTCGTGCCGTTTCGTTTCGGCGCAATTTCCGTCCTTAGGTCCCCAATCTCGGTTGGCACGATCGTCTTAACCCATTCACGAACTTTCTCCACGTTCGCTTTCACCCATTCCAAGGGAATTCGTACCGCACGCGAATCGCACGCGTTCTTCGCCACCGCCTGCTGCTGCAAGAAAACCCCGTAGATTTCCTCCACTTTTCTTTCAAAAGTCCGCACCGTGCGTACGCTTTACGCCTTTATGTATACAAGACGCTCGTGTCCGGGAAAGATCGCATTTTCGGAAAACTGAGGAGACACGTTTTCCATTCTTTCTTTCACGATGGAAAAGGGAGCGTCACGACAACGGTGCCGTAACAGTCCCCGTGGTATTTACCGCCGGTCACTGGGTCACCGGGGTGGCAGACAAAACGGGATATTTACCACACGCCTGGTCGCTCGTCTCTTCTATCCCGGGTGCCGGGAATCTTCGGAATTTTACGAAGAGCCAAGGTCACACATAAAGTTCGCCAGTCTCCCACGCCTCCGGGGTCTGCAGTTCGAAAAATGCGGGACGTACCGACGTCGGTCATTCTCTATTATGGAACACGAGTTAAAGCGAGGGGGTGACTTTTACTGCTGATCGAATCGTTATTGCGTTCTTTATTGTCGACCGGACGATCATGACGTACGAGGAACCTTAATGTGTGTAGCGTTTACGAGGATCGGTGTATAGTAGTACACCGTTGAGTCGGGGAATATCGGCGAATTATTCGTGCGAGCGCAATTGATGCGCAGCTGGAGATTCATTTGTAGATCCAACGGAAGTTTCTTAATGACGTCTCAAAAGTATTTGAAATTTTGAGAAATACATCGGAAAAAGTAAAACATCTTCCGAGTTATCTTTTAGAAGCAAAGTTAAACTTTTTTCTCTGAAGACTGCACAGAGAAAAATATGATTGTATTACTGCTGCGAAGGGAAGCAATTACTCAGTTTATTTTTGTTCTTTTAAGTAATGATTACATTGAACAAAGAATACGTTCTTAATATAAGGATTTTAGAATTTTGCTGGCACATTTAATCACGATTTAGCTGATAAAGTATCGTTGATGTGGCTAAAACTTTGTTGTTGTAATTAAAGCTTTAGTTACTGATGCTAAGTGTATATGTGTGCCATATCCAATATATGTGTACACATTGTAGCTAAATCTATTCATGTGTTACAACGGAGATTTAGCTAGTGCATAACAAGTTTAACTACAGTAGACATGTATTAGGTATGGCACTTGTGCACCTAGCAACGGTAACTAAAGTTTTAGTTATAGCAGCAAATTTTGAGCATCGCAGCAAAACGTTTTCAGTTAAAGCGTGATTAGCTATAACAGAAAAATCTCCTTTTTTTCGTGTAAAAAATATTAAAATATCTTTACATGACAAATATTAGAAAAGCTCATCATCATTTACTCAAAAGAAGAATTTGTTCTCCCTTTTCAAGATTATAAACTTTATCGAGGAAAAGTTAAATCCGGTTAATTAAAATACGTAAACCGAAGTTTTAGTTTTAGCGTTTTAATTTAATATTCTTGATTGAAGTATACTAAACTTATCTAGGATCCTGAATATATTTTGAAGAAGTTTGATGCTTACGATGAACTTATGATATACTTACGCAAACTTGTGAGAAACACTTGAAGCGAATATCACATTTACTTGGATGCAATATGTATTTTCTATATGTGCGGGAAGTTAAAATTGCTCTAATATTGTTATAATCATAATTTATTATTGAACGGAATACTCTCGTGATGAACCGACGAATATTTTACGGTAGCTGGAGGAAAATAACGAGGAACAACGTTAGAGCGATGAAAATATATTTAAGATCGGATGTGTGAGAAGGCAGAGAAATCATTTCAATTTAATCTTCTTTTCGCGCTTTCGGCAAGTCTCCGGCTTGCAGTTGTTAAAATTTCGGGAGCGAAGGGCTCGTTATCGCGTCGGAAAGAGAGAAATCGTCCTTAGGAGTGATCGGCGTATTATCGTGGACGGCAATTATTTCGGGGAAAGTCTTTCTCGATCGGGTCGCCGCTAACGGTGGATGGCGCTTCCTCGCGAATTACTAAGTTTCGCGGCAAATTGACGGCCTGCCGGGCTTCGGCCAAGTGTCGTTAATGCGCGCTGTGTCGCGTGAAAGTTATATAAACGGCGGCATTAATAATTTCGTGGTTATATATCGGCTACTAGCAATAATTCACGACGTTCAGCGTCGCCGGTGTCTCGCGCCGAAATTGACGGTTACGCTTGAATTTTGAGCCCCTTTCGCACGGCCGAGCGAAATTCCGGCTGGCGTTACAGCCGGCATTATTAACGCGCGTCGTATTTTATCGCGATTATTTATTTTGCGATTATAATATTTCGCCGCTTTCGCGCACATTTCGCGCGGCGATGCCGCCGGCGACGCGGGTTTTAATTAAATTCCGCGCGTCTGCGAATAAATTCGGATATTCCGCGAATCGCGCCCGAACCGCACGTTATATATACGTACGCTTGCGTACGTTTCAACGATCCACGGTATGGCGGCGTGGATAATTTGCGAAAAGCCTTTTTTCAAGCGGCGTTTCAATCCCGATTTAAACGATACAGTTGTGCTTCAAACAATAAACTGATTCATTCCCCGCCGAGTCTCTCGATCGAGACTAATGACCGTGAAACGCGTGACAGATCGGGAGAGAGAGAGTGAGAGCGAGCGAGAGAAAGAAAGAAGGAAAGAGAGAGAGAGAGAGAGTGAGAGAGAGATTTTCCCCGTTTAATCTGCCAATTCTCGGGCTCGGCTGTTGTAACAACTTCACAGAATAGATCTTTCTTTTTCCCTCCGTCTTTTTGCTCAGGACACAATGATGGATTGCGGCGGGGACGGTGGAGGTTTGGAGGATTTCGTCGACTTGGCCACCGACATCACGGATAGTTCGCCTACCATACGAGGTAATTTACCCTTTACTCGCTTTTAAGCCCACCAGGTCTCTCGTAAACAAATCACGGTGATTTATTCATGGTAATCTCGGTAATTCGATATGGTACGCCGGAGAACTTGGCGCGCGTGATTATAAGTTTTCGACCGGTCGATTGAACTATACTTACGGTTAGGATTCGGATTATTAATACGCGCAATTTATAACTCGGCAGTGCGTATTTTTGCGTCTTACGCTGATTCATGCGGATAACATTGTGCATGTGATACGTCGGGCTTTAATGGCTGAAGCACGCATAATGCGAATTACGAGCTCGACGATAATTATGTTTGCGCGTTGCGTCAGTTCTCCCTTGATTATTCCTGATTACATTGTTGCTTAATTACGTCGTAGAGCACGCACGTATCTCTGCTACCTCGCTGTGCACACACACACACACATATAAATATATATATATATCCGCATCCTCTATCTTCACCTCCGTAGCGATTCTATCGCGTTCCCCGCGGGATAGAACAAGTCGAGTTTGCTCGCGAATACGGGAAATTTGGCTTCCCTTTAAAGCACTGACGCAAAGTGGAAATGTTTTACGACGGTCGTAAGGGCGTACCTGCGCGCCACCCCTGGTAGGATTCGCGCGCCCCAGAAAATCCTAGCTCGCGTCCCGTTGAAAAATGCCTCGACCGTGTTTCCTATAATAACGTCGGGTTGCTGTCGCCTTTCCCTCGGTGCTCCCTACGAGCGTGAGAATTTCCGCGCTAATTTTTCCATTTCTCAGCGATACATCGGAGCTCCCGAGGCTCACGAATGCGACATAACTAAGGAATAGCTGAATAAATTTCCGATTGCGGAAGGCATTAATTGAGCGCTCGGATTTGTTCGACTTTTTTCGCAAGATGTGTGCGAATGTATTATGAGATGGTTCCAGCGTAAGAAAACACCTTGCGGCCTGAATATGTTTTAAAAAAGCAATCGAACAAAATGACGATTTAAAAAATTTGCCTTTTACGGTATTCCTTCTGCGAGATCATTTAAATTGTGCTCTAAGCACATTTCTCACATTGTTAAAAACAAAGGAGATATTTCGGTGTTCTCCTTATGCTGAGACATCTTGTACACACGCATAAAGAGGGAGAGAGTGACGTGAAAATAATAATAAAGTATAAGTACCGCGACGTACTCTTCTCTGTTTTTTTTTTTTAATTTTTTACGCACTTTAGAAGTTTACTCTTATTTGTATGAGAGCCGTTCAATTAGCCCGCCGAGCGGCGCGATTTTCGCGGCGATATAGAACGACTCCGCACCGGGAAAGGCGACAGGCGCGCGATCATCGGGAGTCGGTCCGATTAAAACTTTTAATAAGGCGCAAATGACGCGGATGTCGGCGTGAATGTGCAACTTTGTACCCGTATTTATTTCCGTGGCGTTGTGCGAGTGAACCATTAAAATTTATTAGGTCGACGTCGTTAATCACGGAATATCTAAGTTGGATGCGCGCGCGCGTATCGCTCGAGAAAATAACTTCGCGTCACCGCTTCGGCCGATCCTCCTGAAATATGAATTTTCTATGCTAATGCTGGGCATTCTGCTGTATACGTACAGCTACGGGAATTTCTATTCACCGACGAGAATTATGACCTCCCCCGGCGGGGCAATTTCAGACGGTATCGTCGAATAATATAAATCGTAACGCGAGTTGTAAAAGCGAATGTAAACAAATTTACGGTCGTCACGATGACGCTGAGCGATCGGCCGATAAAAGGTAATTCGTTATATACATAGTTTCGCTGCGATAATTCGCCGCATTATTATCGACGATGAACGACAAGCACTTTGCAGCGCCGCGTTATCGTGAGTCACGTTTAAGTATCCGCGCGGAGACCGGCGGAACAACTTGGTCATTTTGGTCGTCGGGAAGATAATTGTTTATCCGTACGTTTGACGTAATGCATTTTATGAGGCTTATTTAACAGAGATTTCGCGGATTATTTCGCAAGGGAGATATTCTCCGCACATTCGGTATATATTCAGCGAGTTTCTTGTTTCAAGGCGGCTGGCTCCTCAAACCATTTTCTTAGCAGTCCTTTCGTATTTTAGCTGCGCGTTGATAGAAATACCACTTACATGTTTGTAAAGTTAGAAAACGACTGACTATTCGGAAGAGATATTTGCAACTAAAAATGACACTTTTCATACGTATTCCTTGAAATTAATGTCCGATTTTTAACGTTTATTTTTAAATTTCTTCTAAATTGCGTTTTGTATTTTAATGAAAAACTATTGTGATATTAAGGTCCAATATAGAAACATTATACAAAAGTTTCAGAATTATTGATTATTTTGCTTCGAACGTATAACTTTAGGAAATTTATAATTCATACTAACATACTCGCGATGTCGCAGCGACTTTCATTATTTCCTACGGTCTCTCTATCTGCGGTTTTTTGGGTAGAAACAAACAAACGACTCATCCGTTCATTAGACGCCTTTCAGTCCCTTTAAATCGTCGCTTAACCTAATTCAACCTAATACCGTCTCGCTAGATACCGCAGAAACCATTTAAATGCGGGTACCCCTGTGGGAACGTTCGGCAGAAAGAGTCACATTAGCGTCTTCCAGGGAAGGAAGGGAAGGAGGGGAGTAACAGAGCGAGAAAGGGAAAGAGAGAGAGAGAGAGAGGGAGCTGGTTGGAAAAAAAGAAGAATCAACGAACTCGCTCCCGACTGGTCCAGACTTTTCTATTACCATCAAGAAGAAAGAATGAGAGCGCGCGCGCGCGACACGACTCGTAACGTACGCCTGCCTTTCTGAAAAACTTGGATCGAACGATTGAATACGCTAGTCGAAGAAAAAGTGTGGTAATAACGTGGACATTGGATATAACGGGTCCACGCAAGCGCACACCCTACTCAACTCTTTTGACCGCTGTCAATAAAATCCTTTCGATTTTGCACTTTACATTTTTAATCAAACGGGCATATCGCGTCGACTTGTATATTAAATCCCGCCATAAGAATTGGCTTCGACCCTCGGGGCGAAATCGTCAGTCGCGTTTTAAATATGCATCTTTTTATCACGATAATCCCCGATATGAAGCTCGTGTAATCGTCAGATTATTATTATTATTATTATTATTCAATAGTCTCGCCAACGCGCCATTCGCGCGAGACGAGCGCGGTTCGTGCAGCTTTTCAGATACGCGCTTCGTTAAATCCGCGTAATCAGAACAAATCATTGTATTTACGATGTGTGTTCCACGAAAATTTACATAATTACAAACTTTAATTATCATCTGTCGTGCCGCGATACCTTCTCACTCGAACGTATAATTTCATCGATCGCCACCTACCGATCGAAATCGTTCCCGTTCCCAGGAACAGGTATATCGAAGTTACCCTCGTCGGACGACCTTTCCGCTCGCGCAAGGGTGTGCAAACGGCGAGCCCGGTACACGTACACGGCTCCGATACACTTCGTATAACCGCGTGAAGCAACCACACACACGCGTACGCATAAACTTATACAGACAGGCGCGCGCTCGCGCGAAGGGAGATGAGAAAGAGGAGAGAGAGAGACTCGTGCGAAATTCGGCGATTCGCAGGACGGATATGACGGGGTGGGTTTTCGGCTGCGCGACAGGTAGTTCCCGTGGGACGTTTATGGGCCGGGATTCCCACAGGAGCGCAAAACCGGGCCGCCGCGCGGACTCATCGAATCGCTCGTTCTGGTCCGGTTGTTACAATAACGCGACTTCTCTCTCTTTTCCTCTCTGCCTATCTATCACTCCGTCCCAGTTATTGTCGTTGACTCCGTCGCGCCTTTATCTGCATCTGCGACGTCTCGTCCTTTTCGGGAGAAATCTCAATGCCCAGCATCCGGCGCGACATAACGAGGCCCCCTCCTCCCTCGGACGTTCCCAGAACGGACTCCTGTGAACCGCCTTATCCGCCCGACGTGTTCTCTCGATATACTCGCGCGGCCACGATGTACTTTATGCGGGCCGACGGTGAAGATTGAAGATTACAAGGCACGAGGTCGCGATGTACAAAGCGACGTAATTTGAGGACGACACGATTTCCGTTATTACACCGATAACAACCCGTTATTAGTCTTAAATATCAATTTCGCGCCGCTGGATTATCCTAGGTCCGGCCTCGATCGTTCTCGGCTTTTATTTACGAGTATTTCCATCCGGCTGAGATCGATTTATCCCCCCCCCCCTTCTACCCCTCTCCCGTCGGCTCCTCCCCGCATGCCGATGAGTAATATCCTCCCTTCATTGGATCCGTCCAGTAATCTTCGAGTTTTATCCTCCGCATTGGCAGATAATCTCTTTGCCGTTTGCAACGTTGCGCAGATGCCGCCGAACGGTTATTGACGCTGCTAGGCGTGGACGACGGCGACGAGGACCTGGTGTCCTCATCCGAGGATGAGGGTGTCGAAGTGGACATCGATGATCTCGAGGACGACGACGAGGAGACGGGGAACGCGAGGCTGCTGCATCACCTCGCGGCCTCGCTCGCGCAGGAGCTCAAGTACTCCAGTACACGATCCAGTCCGTCCACCTCCGGCAGGGGGGCGCATCAGGCCCGGGGGGGCTCGGCGCACTGCGTGGAGATGCTGCAGGACACGAGCTACCTCGAGCGCGGCTGCCTGCAGGATCAAGCGGAGCCGAAGGCGCCTGTTCATCAGCAGAGCGACTTCTTCGCCCGCAGCGGGCAATTGTTCGAGGAGCGGAGCACCGCCGGTCGCACCAAGTCCTTCCTGAGCTTCGACGCCTACCGCCAAGATCGGCAGGAGCAGCGCAGCCGGTCGTTCGAGCCGAAGGACGCGGCGAGTCACGCTTTCCCCGGCTACATCTGTCTCGATCAGCGTCTGAGAACGGGAGAGCAGGCCGCCGCGCAACCTGACAACAAGTACTTCGGCCACCAACAGCAGGACACCGACTCCTGGGCGGCCGGCTGGGACGCCTGCGCCAACGAGGCGCTCCGGTACCTCGTCGAGGACGAGGGCCTGCCGCTTCATCATCCCACGGTAATCGCCATGAAGAACCACCTGGACCTGCAGAGGGAGCGGGCGTTCGCCCAGCACACCGGCTATACGGAGGCCAAGTCGCAGGATATGAATCTGGCCCTGGATTGACTCGGCCGATGAAGCCCTCCCGGATCAAGGTAGTGAACGATTATTGCAGGCTCTCACGAGGACGCGTCGTCGTCGTCGAGGAGCCCTCTCTCCCGAGAGATCGCGAGAGGGGGATATTCTCCGGAGTCTCGAGGAAGTGTTCCGAGTAAATTGATCTTATTGTTTAAGTAAATTAATCGCACATCTCCCTCTCTCTCTGTCTTCGTTGTCTCTTGCACGCTGAAGAACGCGAACACGGTGTGTCGTGAAGTTTGCGCAGGGTTCTCTTCGCTTTCTTATTTCCCTCCCGAGGAGGAGCTCCCTAATTTCCTCGAGAGCCGCCGACTCGCTCGGGTTTCGCGCTCATGTAATTCGCGCTTCTCTCGATTTTCCTACCATTTTCTTCCTTACGTTGCTGAAACTTCATCGATCGGATTATCGCTCGGTGTACTCGGTTTCGTCGCGGCGTCGACTCGTTAGCTGTACGTTTCGTAACGTCGGTATCGATGTGAATGCAATCGTACACTTGGTTTCAGCACAGTTTGTGATGTTTCCCTCCACGCACAGATTGGAAACGCAGCCGATGGTCTAAGGGTGCGACTTATTTTTGTTTGGTTCGCGGAAGTCGAGCTCTCTCGTTGAATCATCGATGATAGAGAACGCCCAGACCGTGCTGGAACCAAGCACGTCGATTTCTGTCTTTGACAGTTCTAATTTCGAGCGCCGTTCTCTGAGAATCTCGTAGAGATCGCGTTTCATCAGGAACTAAGATCCCATTCGCGCTCCTCTCCCGTTTCCCTTAAATTCCCGACAGTGCTCCTTCGCGATGATTGGGAGATGATTTTCGGGAGCCACTGAGAGAAAATATCCCCGACAGAGTTAGGGAATCGTCGGACGAGTTGGGAGAACGTTCGGTGAATCACAGAACTAGCTATTCATAGAACAAATTCCTAGGTTAGTTTATCGTAAGTCAAAGAAGAACGATCGACGAAGTTGATTAAGCAGGATAACGGAGAACGGGGGAATTGTTAATTATTTGTTACGTGAGATAAGCATCGATGCAATCGCCGGCGAAATATCGCGAAAATCGCTCTCAATTGTCGCCAGCGTGACATTCGCGCGCCTGGGCTTCACGATTTTGCGAAAAAGGTAAAAAGTAATAGATAACAGCATCAATTTGACCTCTCATTTGCATGTAGATACGAATTTTATTTTAATATCCAAGATCTACTTTGAACTTTGCGTCGGAGGAGTTGTTTTAATACCTCGACGATATCTCCTTTTCCTCTGGATCGTTGCATTTTGCCGGCGATTACGTGCGGGAGACGATTTTCAGTCGGATCGTATAGGAAGGAGAATTGGCCACAATGTCGACAATAGCAAGGAAACGTTTCAGCCCCGAAAATTGTATGTACATAATTCGGACTAGGCGAGAGACGACGACAGCTCAGCGACTAGGTAGGAACCTTATTCGGCCGTAGATCACAGTGAATTATTATTTAGGACGAACGATCGTCGTTCCCCGTATACGACGAATTGATCGGGACGTCACACGTCGCCTCGCAGCGCCGACGTTCGATCAATTCGGTATTAATAAATAAAAAAAACGAGAGAGAGAGAAAGAATTAAAGATGAAGTAAAATAAGACCGATTCTCGCGAGTGATTCAGGATCGACGGCCGACCTCGATCGCGCGTCACTCGTCCCAGCGACCTGTATGTCGTGATTGATCGCGTAGAAAGGAGATACGAATCGCAAAACGAATAGCCGGACATTTTTTCAGAGTCCGTCTGCTTCCGGCGATCCTGCTTACTTCCCGCGCGTCCTTTCCGCGCGATCGATCGTACCGAGTAACGTAAAATATCTCTGTACATATGTATGATATCGTTTTAACTTATACACAACTATTGTTACTTTTACAATAAATCATTGTAGATAACATTGACCACACACAGTAAATAAACGACCGCTAAGTTAATTAAGTCCGCCGTCTCGTTCTCGTCTTTCCACTCCTCCAACGTAGCGCTCGTTTTCTGATCGTCGAGAATGCGTCTTTGATCCGTCGCCAAGAACTGTACTCACCTCCCTGCATCTCCCGAGGACTTTGATCTTTCGGTCGGATCCTTGGAATAATTTTAATTAGGGGCCACCGATCTCGCGGAGGCTCGGCATTTCCAATCGAGATGACACCGCCTCGCAAGATTGTCATTGCGTACACCGATGTTGCGATCTCGCGTTCGCGCTGTGAAATGGAATGTGTAACGATTTATTTCTTATTTTTTTTTCTAATAAAAACAAGTGAAGAACACTCGATGCGACGCAGACTCAACCGAACGGGGACCAGTCGACGTGCACGAATCGAGACGCAATTGCCGATAACGATTCTCTCTTTCTTCCTTCTTCTCGACGTTTGCGTGAAAGAGACGACGTTCCACCTCTCATCGACACATCGCCGACCCCTCATTCACGATTCACTGTGTGGATGCGAGGAGCGAGAGAAAGAGATATACGTACGTATCACGTGTATCGCGTATATTTCACGCGAGATCTCTCGAGACGTGAGACCGACGTCGCGGAAACACGAACGTTAAGAAAGCGCCGTTTGGACGCCCTTCAGACGTTCCCGGCAGCAACGGTCCGCGAGAGAAGAGGGCCCGTTCGAAGGGTCGAGCCGTGGATCTGGCACGCGACCAAACTCGAAAAGAATCGCGCCGTGTGCACCTTTATCGGGGTCGTTCGCCGGGAGGGATCTCTACGCCAATGGGGCATCTGGTGTCGGTTCGTAGCACATGCCATGCATCTGCTCCGTCGAGGTACTTTTGTTGTCTTCGACGTTCGTCCGGCGAAAATAAGCCGGGGGCAGCCCGGACTGCTGTTACCAGGAGAATCTATGTGCTTTCTTACCGTCCCTCGCGATCCGCGATCGCCGACCTCCTGGCCGCCGTCTCGCGATCCCTCCGCGATTGCTGGCCGGGTTAGTCGGTCGCGGAGAGCCGGAGGACTCGGAGGAGAGGACGCGACGACAGCGACGGATATAGCAGGACGATAGCGGAGACAGACAGGTCGGGGAATATGGACTACGGACGTTTGATCGAGTAAATGACAGATTGATGACAGATCGTGCGCGACGATGTGATGGAAGGTGATGGAACAAACCGGTAGTTGCTCGTTTTCCCGAATTTTCACGTCGATCAAACTTCCGATTAAGATATTTCGGGAACTAATGATGATGATGATAATAATTTGCTTTATTGCGCCCAGCATATGCATAAGTAGAGAAAGAGGGAAGAAGAACAGAAAAATGCAGAAACTAAAAGGCGTCAGCAAGTATTGCTGTTAACTGCTTTATCTGAAAATAATCGAAACAACGAAATAAGGTAATGAGCGTTACAATGGCGATGCAAGTTTTCGATTGCAAACAATCCGATTGAGACTGATTCAGTCAATTCTGAGATCTCGGAATCTTATTGGACGAGAGTGGTGAATTTCTCTTATTTGTTAAGTTCAGATTCCAGTCCTCACAAATATGCAAAGCGAGTTTGTTTCTCAGGCCGCGCTTTCGCAGCATTCACGAATGTGCGTGTTTGAATACGTGCGAATGTGCGATGTAGGTGAACGTAATGCATGTAAACATTATTATTATTATGCTTTCATAGGACGGCGAACGGTGTAATGTTTGAAGAGAAGTTAACGATGAAAGATTAATGATAAAATAAATAAAGTAATTAATATGTACGGGACGAATTAGCATCGATTAGACTCGATTACAACAATATGAATTTATTCACTCCGATAAATTCATGCAAGTGTCCATACATTTTTTATCTTATCTCGATCTGTTGAATTAACTATAATGCCTCAATACACTGAGTTTGAATTCACGAATTTACGTGAAATTACACTGAAATTCAATTTTATTATGCATGCAGTAAAAGTTTCGTGTTAAAAACGATCCACTGAAATCTTACGTTACTTTAACATGGGGAATGCGTTAAGAAGTATGCAAATATAACGTTAAATATAATATATTGGCCTTATAAGCATATGTTGAAAAAATAATAATAAACAAAATTGGCCAATAAGAGTCTACCTCGGTCGACTAACTGATTCTCTGTATTAAAGTTTACATGAAACAAAAATAACAGACGTTTCGACCAATCGCCGATTCTCAGAGCCATCTTGAATGATTTAATGTTGACAAAATTTCAATAGACTGTTTTTAACAGGAAATTTTTTACTGTACACGTTATTCTTTATTTCAGGCCAACTTAATCAAATATCTATTTATTTATCTATCTTATCTATTTATTAACAGATCCTTTCTTCCGTCAGGATTAATACGCATCAAACGAATGACAATCGATAACGATACGCGCCGCTACAATGCGGTCTCATGGCGAGAACCACCGTCGATGGTTTCACGTCCTCCCTTTCGTCCCCGCCGACCGAACATCCTGCCGCTCGGGACGAAGCCCCTGTGGTTTTTTGACTTTTTTTTATACACCACATGAAATCGTCTCGGTTTTTTGGCTGCGCTGGGCCAGCGCGGGGCGACGGAGGGGGAGGATGCACGGGCCCGCGAAGGGGAGAGAACAGCTGTCCCGAGTGGTAACCGTCAGGTGGTATCCCGCGCTCGTCAGCTGCGGGGGTGAGAATACGAAAAAAGGGTTGAAAACGTTGCGCCCGGCCGTAGCATTCCGCGGGTCACGTTGATCGGAAAATCGTGGCGCGTTCGATAGCCGTGCGACCTCGTAACTCGACGAGCTGCGAAGTTTGCGCGGTCTTCGAGTTCTCCAAAAGGCCACGACGTTCACGGCGAAGCGGAGAGCGGTGGAATCGCGTACTTGTTGTCGAAGAGCGAGTCTCTTTAAACGTCTTTTCTCTGCCGCCTCTGTGATGCTCTCTCTAATTGGTAGACGGCGTCAAGTACGACCCAGTGTTACTTCTGTCGCCACTTCAGCCGAGTTGAAATTTCAAATTCTACGTTGTCTTCAAGCGGAGAAAACAGAAGTAAGTTCCCGCTTATTTGCATCGAAGGAGCACAATGAGTGCTCCTTTAATGCTACGCAAGGAATTTAGTCCTCCAGAGCCTAAATGAGGAGAAGACAGCAATAATATCCCCATTTGTAGCGTCAAAAGAGTACAATGCAAGACTTTTCAACGCTTAATGTAGAACTAAATTAGATTTAAACTCGGACTCAAATTTCGACTCGGGTGCACACGCTGAATTGGAAACTTGCGATTTTATACTGGTTCTTACAGTAATCTTGCATTGATTTTCGTCAGTTTTGTGTTTGGCGTACTCGTCGCGCACTGCGATGAGAATAGAGTCCCGATGCAATTAATTTAAACAGACCGATTTTAGACAGACGAGACACTGTTGATTGTACTTGAACGTTAATTATTGAATTAACGTATCTATTGAGATACCTCCTCACATACCTCCGTCACTTATATATAATTGCGTTTTATCGTATCCATTTGTACTTCTCCTCGTTTATCTCGATAAAGCCTCTTTCTTTTCTCTTTCTGTCCCTCCCCCCCCCCTTCTCTCTCTCTCTCTCTTGGAAGTAATAATAAATTGTTCCCTCTCTTTCTCTCGCTCCCCTCGTCTTTTTCTCTTCGCTTCTCGCTATCTCGCCTTAACGGCGGTTCGATCTTGATAAAGCGACGATAATTCGCGAGGAGAAGCGCAAACCCGCGGCGGAAGAATTATTTATTATCGGCCGGTAAGAGATAACTTCTTCATCGAAGAAGACACCTGCGAGAGAGTTTCGTTTACAACGGCGGCCCGAGGTGAGTTATGCGTGCAAACGGCCCGTTACAAGCGGCAGATAACGAAGAGATCTTAAACGAAATGCCACACGCGTGCCACACGCATGCACGCATGCGAGCGATTTTTCCGTGATACTTGATTGCCGTATGCCGTTTTAATAATGGCCAACAACAAGACTGCGTTCTCGGTTCTCGTCATTGATGACGCGAATGATTTCAAGAGACAAGGAGAGAGAGAGAGAGAGAGAGAAAGAGAGACGCGTCATCTTACCCTTTTCCTCCTTCGAGCATCATGTTATTTATTTCTAAGCGGTGCGTCGTAGATGCGCAGCAGCGTCCGTGCCTGAAAATTTCGCAATGAATCAATCTCGGTGTGTCGTCTCGCGCATTTTTATCGCCGCGCAGAAATCTCTTGTTTTCCCGGCGCGATCGTTAATTTGTGCACACGCTCGCGCGGGAATCCTCGTATATTTAGAGGCGCATTATCGTTGAAATCGTGCCGAGATCCACGAGCCCTCGATTTAGAGGCGAAAGGTGTTCAGCACGAGCCTCACGTCGTGCCGCGATCGTTTCTTCCGGGCAGCTGCTGCTATTTTTCGAAAATAAAGGTGGGCCCCGCCGTCTGTCCGCGGCCCGCCACGTGTAAGCTTCTCTCTCTCTCTCTCTCTCTCTCACTCTATTTCGTTTCGTTGGCGTTTCTCCGACTTTAATCAACCGTCTTGATTATTCGTCTCGGCGACAGAAAGAAGAAAAGAGGGAGAGAAAAAGAGAGATACAAAGAGGCACACACGCGCGATTCCACGATCGCGTAAAATTGACGGAGCGGACGCAGGATCGTCGTCGAGGGCGTTGCTCACCGATGCCCGATCTCCTCCGCACGGTTAGTAGATTCTGCGTTAGCAGATGTATACTTCCGGCAGCTGTGAAAGTAGTGTGCGTGTCGTGCGTTCTTTATGGCTGCACGCGCCCCCGACGCACGCGGCGAGACAATACACGCCGATTGGCCATTAAGGTCCGCATCTGGCGGATTTCGGTGAAGGATCGATTTTCCACGCGCCGACGCCCGCGATTCGATCGGACGGAGGACGAGATCCCTTTTTCCTATTTTCGCGACGTCTCCTGTCGATGCTCAAATAGGAAGTTGTTTCCGTTTTCTCCGCTTGAGCGCAGAGTTGAAAATTCCCTCCCGGGAGGTCTAAATTCCCTT